CCACAATTCTTATCCGATTCTCAAGCGGAGTACCTTAAACGATTTCTGGATCGATTCTCCACCATTCTGCATCAAAATCCTGAGACAAAATATTTTTTCGATTTTTTGCTCATTTTTCCTGATGGGATCCCTTGAAAATGAGGTTTTCCCCTATAAGGCCCACGGCGATCGCTATATCTTCCGCAATTCTCATCCGATTCTTAAGCGGAGTACCTTAAACGATTTCTAGATCGATTCTCCACCATTCTACATCAAAATCCTGAGACGAAATATTTTTTCGATTTTTTGTCCATTTTTCCTGATGGGATCCCTTGAAAATGAGGTTTTCCCCTATAGGGCCCACAGGGATGGCTATATCTGCCCCAATTCTCATCCGATTCTCAAGCGGAGTACTTTAAACGATTTCTAGATCGATTCTTCACCATTCTGCATCAAAATCCTGAGACAAAATATTTTTTCCATTTTATTGTCCATTTTTCCTGATGGGATCCCTTGAAAATGGTGTTTTCCCCTATATGGCCCACGGCGATGGCTATATCTTCCACAATTCTTATCCGATTCTCAAGCGGAGTACCTTAAACGATTTCTTGATCGATTCTTCACCATTCTGCATCAAAACCCTGCAACAAAATATTTTTTCGATTTTTTGTTCATTTTTTCCTGATGGGATCCCATGGGATCCCTTGAAAATGGGGTTTTCCCCTATATGGCCCACGGCGATGGCTATATCTTTCCCAATTCTCATCCGATTCTCAAGCGGAGTACCTTAAACGATTTCTGGATCGATTCTCCACCATTCTGCATCAAAATCCTGAGACGAAATATTTTTTCGATTTTTTGTCCATTTTTCCTGATGGGATCCCTTGAAAATGAGGTTTTCCCCTATAGGGTCCACTGTGATGGCTATATCTTTCCCAATTCTCATCCGATTCTCAAGCGGAGTACCTTAAACGATTTCTAGATCGATTCTCCACCATTCTGCATCAAAATCCTGAAACAAAATATTTTTCACATTTTTTGTCCATTTTTCCTGATGGGATCCCTTGAAAATGGGGTTTTCCCCTATAGGGTCCACTGTGATGGCTATATCTTTCCCAATTCTTATCCAATTCTCAAGCGGAGTACCTTAAACGATTTCTGGATCGATTCTCCACCATTCTGCATCAAAACCCTGCTACAAAATATTTTTTCGATTTTAAAAAATATTCCCTTAAAAATGAGGTTTTCCCCCTTAAGGCCCACGGCGATAGCTATATCTTCCCCAATTCTTATCCGATTCTCAAGCGGAGTACCTTAAACGATTTCTAGATCGATTCTCCACCGTTCTGCATCAAAATCCTGAGACGAAATATTTTTTCGATTTTTTGTCCATTTTTCCTGATGGGATCCCTTGAAAATGAGGTTTTCCCCTATAGGGTTCACTGCGATGGCTATATCTTCCCTGCGACAAAATATTTTTTCTATTTTTTGTCCATTTTTCCTGATGGAATCCCTTGAAAATGGGGTTCACCCCTATAGGGCCCACAGTGATGGCTATATCTTCCACAATTCTTATCGGATTCTCAAGCGGAGTACCTTAAACGATTTCTAGATCGATTCTCCACCGTTCTGCATCAAAATCCTGAGACGAAATATTTTTTTCGATTTTTTTCCATTTTTCTGATGGGATTCCTTGAAAATGGTGTTTTCCCCTATAGGGTCCACGATGATGGCTACATCTTCCCCAATTCTTAGTATCTTAAAAGAATCTTAGATCTATTCTCCACCAATCAAAACCTACCAACATAAATTACATCATCATTGCATTTTTAATAATAGGCATAAACATCCTCTACAAGAGTAAATAATGCATATTCAATAATAAAATGCTGATTCATAAAAAGCGACATTTTTATTGTATAATAGCCTCATAAAAATGGGTCGATAAAACAGGTCCTTCATTTATTTTGCATAAGCATTTAACGACTTCAACGCGTTATGTAAATTGGTAATTAAAAGAGACATGACTGACAGATTATTACACTAAAAAATTAATATTGAAAGTTTTTAGAAATGTTTAAACTTTGTTAACAAAGCGCCGAAAATTATGCTGCACAGCCTATTATGTTAACAGTTATAATGCACCAGAAAAAATGGATTAATATAAATCAATAAAGTTTATTAATGTTTTTTTTTATCATTTATTAATAATTTATTTTTAGGTACGTGTATTATTTATTGTGATAGAATTATCACAGAAAATAATATATCGAAAGTACTGTGGCATGCGGCGCATCATCTTGCGCTCGGTGTCCTTCAGGGTCCCAAACAATCTGGAATAAAATAAAATTTAAAATACATTTTTTTTATAAATTCCATGTCCTAATCACCAATCATTTCCTGGAAGGGCATGGTCACAATGTATGTAAGTTTAGGCCCATTCAAAATCCGCGAACTGAGATCCCAATGATGAAGATCCTGGCAGATATGCCATGATGACCATCGCGGACATCGAGCGCCAGGTGATGAGTCGCATGAGCTTTCAAATCGAGAACTGAGAACTTGTCTAATCTTTACAGTTTGATTGAATTTAGATCCTGATCCCTAGGCCATTTACATGTTAAAGGGCAAAGGTCTAATGATGTCCATTGTGGAGATGCGCGTCAACCTCCTCTCGATTTCCTCAAGGGTCCAGCCCCGCGTCTCGGGCACGAAGAATATCACAAAGAACACTCCAACGACACACACCCCGGCAAACACCCAGAAGGCTCCATGTGTGCCTAGCAAGTCTGCAAAAAAGTGATGTTAGAAAATGTTAGAAATTGTCTGAGTCCTTCTCACCAATCATGTCCTGAAAGGTCTTGGTCACTATAAAGGTGCAGGCCCAGTTGAAGGCCGTCACCACTGAGGCAGCTGGACCACGAACTTTGGCCGGAAGGATTTCGCCCATCATTAGCCAGGGAATGGGTCCGAATCCCATTGAGAATCCAATGACGTAGATAACAAAACAGATCAATGGCAACCAACTCACGTAGCTGATATCCGGGCCATGGATCTTGCAGTAGAAGAAAGCGCCTAGAATAGACAGAGTGACGATCATGGCAAAGTTGGAAAAATGCAGAAGAATCTAGAAAGAGTTTATATAGTAGTTATAATTAAATACCTTGAGTGATGAAAACTCACCTTTCTGCCTATCCTATCGATCAGAGCACTGGCAGCGAATGTGGCCATGAAGTTCACCACGCCCACAATAATTGTGCACACATAGCTGTCAATAGTGGTTCCTGCTTCCTTGAAAATAGACACCGTATAGAAGATAACAGCATTGATGCCGCTGAACTGCTGAAAGAACATCAGACCCAGAGAAATGGACAAAGGTTTAAGGTTGCGAGGTTTCATCAGCTCCACCAGAGTGTACTGATGGGCCAGATTATCAGCTTCTGCCTGGGTCAACATCAATATCCTCAACTCTGACTCCACATCCGCATCCTTTCCACGTAGCCAGGTGAGCGATTGGCGGGCTTTCTCTTCGTGCCCTTCTCCGACATACCAGCGCGGCGATTCTGGCATGAAGAACATCATAATGAAGTATGGTAGTGGCAATGCTGCGCCAAAAACGGCCAACTGGGACCAGTTCATGAAGGTGCCCGCCACATAGCACACCAGGATGCCAATGTTACCCAACGCCGTAGGGAGCAGGCCAAGAGTGCCGCGAACTTCCGGATGGAGAGTTTCGCCAAGGTAAACGGGAAGAGACAACGAGCCGACACCCACACAGAATCCGGTCAAGAAACGTCCGCACAAAACCGTCCCCACATTATCAGCACATGCAATCAGTAGTTCGGCCAAAATAAAGGGTACAGCGATGAACTGGATCGTGGTTTTGCGACCCACATATATAATGAACGGTCCTCCGCAAAATCCACCTGCCATACCAGCCAGTGGCATGATGCCTCCTACCCAGGAAGCCTTTGATTAAGACAGGGCTTCATTAGTAGCCAGATATCCTTTTTATTCGACCACTTACAGCTTGTGGGGTGACCTCGAAATCGGTGATTTTCCTGTCGGTCATGGAAATCAATGCTGGTGAAGTGTAGGCGGCGGTAAAGCCGAGCACCATGGAGCATAGGGAAACGCTTAAAGCGGCCAGAACCTGTAAAGACAAACCAAAGAAAAAAACAATTTAAAAATCTCAAAGTATTTCAAAGTTAAAGAACCTGAGGCAAGTTAAAAGGGCTCTTGGGCTTGGGCTCAGGCATGGCGTACGGTACCGGCTAGCGAAAAAAAAATTCATGTAGCTTTTTTTAGAAAATTTTTTCTTTGTAAGAAAATATAATTTAAAACAAGATGATTTTAATTAAACTACCTGACATTCCAAAGCCGCGCGTTTTCATTGTAAAACATCGATGAAATAATCGATACAACGATGATTCTGGTTGTCACTAACAACTGGTCACTGAGAGACCAGAGAGAAATCTGGTCACATTGAGTTTTGTTTAAATTACAAATTACTTGTTTTTGTCCACAAAGATAATGGCTAATGGATAATGGCGAAAAATGGTCTGGTAGATTATTACACTAAAAATGCAAATATTGAAAGTTTTCAGAAATTATGTTTTAACAGTGCTAACAGAGCGCCTAAACGTATGCTGCACAGCCTGTTATGTTAACAATTACAGTGCTGCCAAAAAAATTGGATTAATAAAGCCAATCGGATAAAACTTTAAAATATTTGGAGATACGTGTATTATTTATTGTGGTATAATTATTATAGAAAATTATATAGAAAGCACTGTGGCATACGGCGCATCATCTTGCGCTCGGTGTCCTTCAGGATCCCAAAGAATCTGGAATAAAATGTAGTTTCCAATAAAATGTTCCCAAAATTATATGTCCTACTCACCAATCATATCCTGGAAGGTCACGGACACTATATATGTAAGTCCAGGCCCTTTCCTGGGCCAGTCCTGCAAATAATTATATCGCAAAGACTAAGATCCCGGTCTATTAGTTGAAGGACAGTGAATTAATGAAGACCATCGCGAACATCGAGCGCAAGGTTATGGAGCGCAAGATAGATAGCCGAGAACTGCGACTACGAGAAGGTGGACTAGGAATTTTCGCAACAATTTTCTAACCACTTAAAACACGATTCTAATCTCTCGAGTTTGAATGAATTTTGAGCCTGATTCCTAGGCCATTTACATGTTAAAGGGCAACAGTCTAATGTTGATCATTGCGGACATGCGCTTGAACTTCCTCTCGATTTCCTCAAGGGTCTTGCCCCGCGTCTCGGGCACGCAGAATATTACAAAGAAGACGCCAACGACGCACACCCCAGCAAACAGCCAGAAGGCGCCATGAGTGCCCAGCAAGTCTGCAGAAAAAGAAGTTACCATAAAATTGATAAACATTTTTTGTAGTCCTGCCCACCAATCATGTCCTGGAAAGTCTTGGTCACTATAAAGGTGCAGGCCCAGTTGAAAGACGTCACCACTGAGGCAGCTGGACCACGAACCTTGGCCGGAAGGATTTCGCCCATCATTAGCCAGGGAATGGGTCCGAAGCCCATTGAGAAGCCAATGACATAGATAACAAAACAGGCCAATGGCAACCAACCCATGTGGCTAAAATCCGGGCCATGGATCTTGCAATAGAAGAAGGCGCCTAATATAGACAGAGTGACGATCATGGCAAAGTTGGAAAAATGCAGAAGAATCTAGAAAAAAGAGTTGGTATAGTAGTTAAAATTAAATACCTTGGTTAGTGAAAACTCACCTTTCTGCCTATCTTATCGATCAGAGCACTGGCAGCGAATGTGGCCATGAAGTTCACCACGCCCACAATAATTGTGCACACATAACTGTCAATAGTGGTTCCTGCTTCCTTGAAAATAGACACCGTATAGAAGATAACAGCATTGATGCCACTGAACTGCTGGAAGAACATCAGACCCAGAGAAATAGACAAAGGCTTGAGGTTGCGAAGCTTCATCAGCTCTACCAGAGTATGCTGAGTGGCCTGATTATCGGCTTCCGCTTGGGCCACCATCAATATCTTCAATTCCGACTCCACATCCGCGTCCTTGCCACGTAGCCAGGTGAGCGATTTGCGGGCTTTCTCTTCCTGTCCTCTTCCCACATACCACCGCGGCGATTCCGGCAGGAAGAACATCAGAATGAAGTATGGTACTGGCAATGCTGCGCCAAAAAATGCCAACTGAGACCAGTTCATGAAGGTGCCCGCCACATAGCACACCAGGATGCCAATGTTACCCAACGCCGTAGGGAGCAGGCCGAGAGTGCCGCGAACTTCCGGGTGGAGAGTTTCGCCAAGGTAAACGGGAAGAGACAACGAGCCGATACCCACACATAAACCGGTCACGAAACGTCCGCCCAAAACCATCGCCACATTTTGAGCAAATGCAATTAGTAGGTAGCCCAAAATAAAGGGTATTGCGATGACCTGTATCGTGGTTTTGCGGCCCAGATATACAATTAACGGTCCACCGATAATTCCACCTGCCAAACCAGCCAGTGGCATGATGCCACCTACCCAGGAAGCCTTTGATTAAGAAGGGGCTTCATTAGTATCCAGATATCCTTTTTATACGACCACTTACAGCTTGTGGGGTGACCTCGAAATCGGTGATTTTCCTGTCGGTCATGGAAATCAATGCGGGTGAAGTGTAGCCGGCGGTAAAGCCGAGTATCAGGGAGCATAGGGAAACGGTTAAGGCGGCCAGAACCTGTAAAGACAAACAAAAGAAACAAAATCTCAAAGTATTTAAAATTTAACGAACCTGAGGGACGTTGAATGGGCTCTTGGGCTTGGGCTCATCTGGAGGCATGATGTATGGTATCGGCAAGCAAAAAGATCTTAATATCGATTTTTTTGTAGACAATTTTCTGTTTGTAAAAAAATAAAACCTATAAATAAGACGATTTTAACAAAACTTCCTGACATTTCAAAGCCGCGCGTTTTCATTGTAAAATATCGATGGAATAATCGATATATCGATGATTCTGGTTGTCCACAAACTGTAATGGATTTCAAACAGTAACTAATCCGGTCACATTGAGTTTTGTTTACATTGATTATCTTTGACAAATATATTATTGCGAATATAATGGCTGACGATCCGGATAACTCTGCCCCATCTGAACCAGAGAAGATGTTCACCCTCAAAAGGTGGAATTGTGTATGTTTTTGGAATTGGGATGTGGAATGCGATGTCTGTGCCATTTGTAGGGTTCAAGTAATGGGTAAGTAATCCAATCCCGATAATGTTTCTATAAACTCTGATCTGATCTCTGAAAGGGACAAAGAAATACCCATTGTTTTGGTCTGGGATGAGCTCGTACACCAAACAAATTACTTGGTTTTGTCCACAAAGATAATGGCTTTTCAGAAAAACAAAGGCATTCGCAGCTACGAAAAGAAAAAGTTCACTGATCTATACTTAAGATTGTTTAGGATCCATTTTGGGTAACCATTTTATTTGTTTTAATATTCTATGATTTAAGTTTTAGGTTAGTTTAGTGTAAGCTTAGTAGGCTGCTTTGTAAGCATTTGGAAATCTTCCTTCAATGTTTCAAAAACTAAACTTTTGAGGGAACTTGGAAGACCCCTTTCCAAAGGTTCTTTCCGCCTTTCCACCATTTTCTATATACGATACTATAAACCACTTTATTAATTGAATATATATAGTTAGTATATATAGTTACTGAGAGCCTATCTTCTGAAATGCATTCATGAAATATATAGGTTCCATGTATCATCATCAGCACATCATATAAGCGTCCGGAGCATCCATTGCACGGATGCGATTGTTTCGCAATTGTTTACTTGAATTTGAAATCTCGTAATTGCTTTCCGATAAGAATGGGACCTGGACCGCTCCGAATCCCAGGCAAGGACCATGTAATACTCAACCTTATCGCTGTCACTCGTTCGAGCGTCAGCTGTAATGTGTGTGAGATGTGCTGATTGCCACTGCAAATACCCACGGATAGCCAGGCAGAGCATCGAACAGTTTAAGTAAATGCGTTTCAATTTTTTCATTTCATGCGCCTCTGGAATGGCCATCTAGCCAGTTGGTCAAATATACATATATAAACATCCATGTGTATTGTATATTAGACTAGAGTGGGATATTCGAAATGAAACTCACGTATTTGGGAGGCACTGACATTGCCCGAACTGTAAACTGTAAACTGCATTCTGAAGGTCGTATGCAAAGCGTTTTCCACTCATTTTTGTTCGTTTTCTAATTTTCGACCTAGCTTAGAAAGAACAAATAAACATCCATAACATTTGTTTTGTTTTGTATTTTTTTGTTTGTTTAAATTAGTCTACAAATAGATACACTTATAGCTTAGGAGTAATTTTAAAATATATATTCGATATATAGCCAATTGGTGTATTTTTTCACGAAGAGATTTCTGGGGGGAGGATGGGGGAAAGGGTTTTCGGGTTTTTCACTACAACTAACTACTTTTTCATGTCATTTTTGTACACCGATCTCGATCAACATCCATCCAATGTCAACAAATTAGTGCTAAAATCATAATTTACACAATAAAACTATGCACTTAATGATTATAAATAATAATAATAACAATTATGTGTTTACTAACAATATTAGGACTAACAATATCAGAGCGCCTATGTGGGGATCGGCCCATCCCGTCCCTGCCCGCTCCAATATATCGTATTTTTTCTTATGGCTTGATGGGTGGGTGGGGGGTTGCGCCCACAACTGCGTTTACACGATTCCTTAATCACTAAAGGCACTAGTCTAGTATTTGGTTTGATCGCATTCAGATCCCGGCTCCCAGGCCGATTACATGTTGAAGGACAGCGGCTTAATGTTGGCCACCGAGGACATGCGGCGCACACGGCCCATCATCTTGCGCTCGATGTCCTCCAGGGTCTTGCCCTGCGTCTCGGGCACATAGAGTATCACAAAGAACAGGCCAATGAAGCAGATGGATCCGAACAGCCAGAAAGCTCCATGAGCGCCCATTACATCTGCAAAAAGATTACAATTTCCATTAGTTTCCATTAAAAATTGTAATATTTTCCATGTCCTGCTTACCAATCATATCCTGGAAGGTCTTGGTCACCACAAAGGTGCAGGTCCAGTTGAAAGCGGTGGCCACTGAGGCAGCCGAGCCACGAATCTTGGCCGGCAGGATTTCGCCCATCATTAGCCAGGGAATGGGTCCGAAGCCGAGCGAGAATCCAAGGATGTAGATGACGAAGCAGCTCAGAGGCAACCAGCCCAAGTGGCTGACATCCGGGCCATGGGCCTTGCAGTAGAAGAAGCCGCCCAGGACGAACAGGGTGATGATCATGGCAATGTTGGAAACATACAGAAGGATCTAGAAACGGGCATGAATATCATTAGTCAAGTCTACTCTCATCCGCATAAGATTCTGAATAACTTACCTTTCTGCCTGCCCGATCAATCAGTAGAGTGGCAATAAAGGTGGCCATGAAGTTCACCACGCCCACAATAATGGTGCACACGTTGCCGTCAATGGTGGAGCCTGCATCCTTGAAAATGGACACCGTGTAGAAGATGACAGCGTTGATGCCGCTCAACTGCTGGAAGAACATGAGACCCAGGGAGATGGACAAGGGCTTGAAGTTACTACGCTTCAGCAGCTCCATCATGGTGTTCTGGGTGCCCTGACGATCGGCATCTGCCTGAGAGCGCATCAGTCCCTTCAGCTCCGGCTCCACATCCGCCTCCTTGCCGCGCAACCAGCTGAGAGCTTTGCGGGCACGCTCCTCGCGTCCTCGGCTAACGAACCAGCGCGGCGTTTCCGGGATGAGGAACATCAGGACGAGGAACGGAACTGGCAAAGCTGCTCCCAAGAAGGCCAGCATCGACCAGTCCATGTAGGTGCCGGCCACGAAGCACAAGAGGATGCCGATGTTACCAAACGCCGTCGGGAGCAGACCCAGAGTGCCGCGGACTTCGGGCTGAACCGTTTCGCCGAGATAGACGGGCAGAGACAACGAGGCGATGCCCACACAGAATCCGGCCAAGAATCGACCAGCCAGGACCATGGCCACGTTCACAGCACAGGCAATCAGTAGCGAGGAGACAATAAAGGGCACTGCCGTGGCCAGGATGGTGTTGCGGCGGCCTAGATACTCAATGAAGGGTCCACCGGATATGCCTCCTGCCAGACCAGCCAGAGGCATGATGCCACCCACCCAGGAAGCCTGGAAATAATAAGGATTTTGATTAGAAAGGTTTATGGTTTATAGAGGGAGTTTTCCAGGGAAAACTTTACTAAATAGTTGATTTTGAAAACTTACCGCTTGCGGGGTGACCTCGAAGGAGGTGATATTCCTGTCGACCATCGAAACCAAAGCGGGTGAGGTGTAGGCACTGACGAAACCGACCACCAGGGAGCCCAGGGAGACGCTTAGAGCGGCCAGAACCTGGAAGGATTAAGCAAAGAACCAATTTAGTTTAAAATTTTAATTAAAAGTCTACAACTATTTGGAGTTTTAAGCACCTGAGAGAAGGTGCAAATAGCCTTAGGCTCCTCCACGGGCACGGAGAAGGACACATGAGTGTCCGCTCGCATAAGGATCTTCATGATGAAGCTTTGTTTTGATTTTTAGCACAAACTATTGTCTTTTTAGACTGTTTTTTTAAGTAACAAGGTTATTTTGAACAAAACTGCCTTTCACTTTAGGCCCGCACACGGTCCTTGGAATCGGATTCGAGATCGGATTTGGAATTGGAATGCTTTCCGGCGCGTTCGCTAGTCCAAACTCAACTGAAACTTGTCATCGGGTCCGATTTGAAGTGCAGTTGCATTTCGCTAGTTTTGAGAACAGTTTTCGGTGCGTTTCAATATATTTTGTTAGGCTCGGGCACGTACAAGTACATATATATTGAATCGAATGGATCGATTCGAGCTGATCGTAAACACAGACTATATTTGATTTCCCAGCGGGATCGGATTCTTATCAGTTTACTGGCTCTTCAAGAGCAAGCTGTACTTGGAATTTCGCAGAAACGCAATCTGAGGAAAGCAGCTAACAGCGGTTCAAAGCTGTCTTGGCCAGCTCAAGTGCAAACTGCAACTGCCAAAGGACTTGGCGGACATCGTACCAGGTCAGAATCTAACTGATAATCTCGTTATAGAACCACTGAGTCCATCCATCAGACGGGTGGACGATATTTTTAGTTCGGCCATAACTAAATGCGTTAATTTTAATTAAGGCTGGTGAGGCCCGGGGAACGCGAATTGTGTTATTGGCATCCGGAGTCCGGACATCGTGCGAAAATAGCACGCTCGCCACGCGTCTGAGGTTGTAAATTGCTCAACAAGTGTGCTTTATGGTTGGATTAATGCCATTCATAATCTCGGTCGGTAGGCGCCAACGAGCTTAACGAGCGGACAATGGATTACCATAGATGGTAGTCCTCCCTCCCCCTCCACCATATCTAACCCCCAACCTTTGATTGTTTGACCCACCTGTGTCCATATGTAAATGGGATTCGTTGTGGGGCGATAGACCTCCAGCTTGGGCTTGCCATCCTCGGTTATCTGGCGCACGAAGGGCACTGCATGACGGATGTTCTCGCCGCGCTTATTCCCCATCTCGTCCATCTCGTAGAGTCGACGGCTGCGGGTGTTCAAAAATAGGGGTATTAGCATAGGTCTTATTTACTTATAAACAGGCTTTGGGTTTCTCTAAAGAAATCTACAATAAAAGTGCGTAAGTAACCTGATTCCCAATTAATCATATTTCATAATCTATATAGGTTAAGCTGTTATAACAACACTATCCCTTTAATCTGAACTATATAGTTTATTTATTTTAAATATATTTATAGACTTTATATAGATTTATATAGATTAAAGTTTAAAGGTTTATATTTTTAGAAATAATCACAATTTCTTCAGAAACCTACTTATCAGTTCTTGGAAATATTTATAAGATAAATACTAGAAACCATCCAACTTCTGAATAATAGACCTTAAGGTCATGAAAGTTAATTCTTTTTAAAAAAATCATCCAAGGTCCAATTGACGCAAATGTCTATCGATGATAACCCTGCTCCTGACCTCTCTGGGGTTTTCAAGATCTTTTATTTTCTTTCAAAAAACATCCCAACTGACTCACCTTTTTCGGGAATCGGTGCTAATGGAGCGCTGCTGTTGAAAGTGCTGGCGCGACGTGAGGAAATCCTCGTCGCTTTCGCTCTCCAGATCCTTGAGATCGATGATCACCGGCTTGGTAATGTCCTTGGGCCGGTGGATCAGGCGCTTGTGCTCGGCGTCGTCGCCCTCCTCGTCACTGTCGGTACTGGAGCCTTGCAGGACCTTGTCTAGCTTGAATGTGACCCGGGGATCCAAGCTCTGGTGCTTGCGGCCCTGGAATTCGCGGCGTGTCTTGTGGAACTCCTCCTCCGAGGACGATTCCTTGAGCAGATCCTGCAGGAAACGTGTGCCCTTGACGTCCAACGAGACGTGCTTCTTGGCCTGGAACTGGCGCCGGTTGTCGTTGGCCAAGATGTGTTTCAGGTCCTTCAAGATGCCCTTGTGATCGACACTGGTGGCCTTCTGTTGCTGGAAGCCAGTGCGTCGCTCCTCGAAGCTGTCCTCGTCACTGCTCTCCGCCTGCTTGTTGTTGTTGTTGTTGTTGTTCGACTGGCTGTTGCCAGTGTCGCGTCGCTCGAAGGACACTCTGGATCCTTTGAGACTCTGCTTACTGCGCTGCAGCTCCTCTCCAGCCACCTGGGCACTTCTCTGTTGCCGATCGCGATGCTCCCGAATCTCCAGGGAGGTCGGTGGTGGTGGCAGCGGTGTCAATTCCAAGCTGCCACTTGCTCTCAGCGGAGTTCTCTGCTGCTGGGTGGTGAGCGTCTGGGTGGGTGGTTCGTTGATGTCGTCGTCCTCTAGCAGCGGGCGAAAGGATAGCGGCGGCTCGTCCTCCAGCAACCGTTGTGTCCTCACGGTGCTCTGTGGATGTCGCTGCGGCGATACTTGTGGGAACAAGAACGGATCCTCCGGCAGAATTGTGTCCAAGCTGGTGGCTGTGTTCGAGGTGGACAGATTGCTTTCCACGCGATGATAGCCCAGCTCGTCCTGAAATCGATTCGAGTCAACAGACAGTCGGCGATTAATTGATGCGAATCATAAGCTTGGCATAATTATAAAGCCCCCCATATACATATTTCATATCAATATTTTAAAAAACAAAAAACCGCTGCAAACCGCCCGAAATCATTGTGATTAAGAAAATACAAGACAGATCTTTGAGCTGTTCTTGAGATGATCGGCAATCGCAAAGGTTTCTATGGTATTGGAGCCGGCCACCCCAGCCGGCTTATCGGTCATGTGCGCAGTTCATGATGATCTTTTACTCTTACTCATATTATATTTTTTTTTTTTGGCAAATTTTAATATTCAAAAAAATGTGTTAAATGCGACACATCTGATGGGGGCTTTCACACGTTGCTAGGCTTGATTATTTCAAATATTTTTATGGGTTTCTGTTTAACAGCTTCCTCAATAAAAATTATGTAGTGAGGCTTAGGAGGTCTGTACTATAGAGTCTATAGGGTTCTTTAATATAACTTTCATTCAAAAATCATCTATATTTGATAACAGTTCTTGAAAATATTTACTATTTTGTTGAATATTTTGAAGAAATCTTCTTAAAAACATGTTTGTTTTTAAAAACTTCTTCCATATGGTGTATTAAATAAAGCTTATAGGATGTCTAGGGTTCTAAAACAGAACTTCTCTTAAATAAAAACTTTATTTCTTGACTATAGTTCTTGAAAATATTTACTATTTTGTTGAATATTTTTAGAATATCTACATATTTTTCAAGTATAGCTTATATGAACTCCTAAGATCTCTTTGAAAATAGTCCTTGAAAGTGTTTACTATTTTTCTTAATTTTTTCTTTAAAATCTTTGCCTTATAAACATGTTTACATTTCCCATAATAATAATCTGAATCTGAATCTGAATCTGAATCTAAATCTAAATCTGGAGGGATACTTACACCTACTCGGGTTAGTTTCTCCTTGAGCTTGCCCATGGCGCTGCTGAGCGGTTGATGACCGCCACCACCGCCGCCGCCACCGCCGGCTCCTCTATTGTCGCGTCCACTCATCTTATCGGCTCTATAGCTTTAAAGTTGAACTTTAACTTGTTGGTTTTCCTTTTATTTTGGAGGTTTTATGCAGATTTCACTTCTCCAAGTAAATGATCTCAGCTTCTTTAAGTTTACTTTTTGTCTTTGCTGTAAAGAAATATTAGGTATTCGATTAATTAAATGTGATTATATGATAGATATAATTAAGGTTATCAGTAAGGGCTTATATTTATTATATGGGGTGTCTGGTGAGGTTTGAAATTGGGCTTCTACACTCTTCCAATCGTTCGATGTCTGGCGAAATTGCATTCGTTTAATAATAGTTAATAGTGATAGTGCACTATCAGGGCAGTATCTTGAATACTTGAAAAACCCCGCTGATGTCTAGGTTGTTATCTTTGCGATAAAGCTCACGCCCCCTTGGCACCCAACACACCCACTTTTTAGTCACCCGCTCTCGTGTCCTTGATGACTATTTCCTCAACCTCAACCCCAAAAATATTTGCCTCTTTTTTTTCCCGCCCTCTCATATACGTATCTCTGATCTCTTGACTTTGGCATGCGGCAGTTTTGGGGAAAAACAAAAATAAAAAACCAAATATCTCAAAAATTTTCCATTCAATTTTCTTTTTTTTTTCTATATATATTTTTGAGGTGATTAATGAGCGCATCGCGGAAAAAAGGGAAATATAATAATATTTTCATTTGTTTGGTTTTGTCAAAAATTTTTTTTATTTGTTTTGACTTTTGCTTCTGCGTCATGTGATGCCAAAAGAGAGAGGAGGAACCAGAAAAAGGAAAGGAAAATTGTGTGGGCGCCATGACGTCGACCTCCTCCTCCATCCACCCACTCGTGTATCTAGCGATTCTATTCTATAGTCTATTTGTGGGAAAGTGGGTGTCGGTCTATTTCAACTCTATTCTTTATATATGGAATTCCGTGCAAATATTCGCATAATTGGCCCAAAGGCACTAAGGGGGCGTGCCCTGCCACCCAAATAGTTCAATTGGACTGACTTGCAGTTATCTATTAATTGAATTTGTGTTGAAATGAACGTGTTGCGCCCCTAAAATGAAACGCAATTACAACAGTTGGTGTTTCGTGTATGTAAAATGCTAGAGATTCGAGAGCGACAGGCGCTAAAAATTGCCATTGACCTTGAATTCCTGTGTGTGTGGGCGGTAAAATGGCACATATTTTTGGGGGCCCAAGAGCGCCAATAAGAGATTGATCACACATACTCTTACAACAATATGCTGCTCTTTGTTGAGCCTCTCTCGTGAGCTGTAGTTCTCTTAAAACCTTAACTCACGTGCCAAATAAGCCCCCACTCTCTCTCTATCTCTCATATACACCTATACAGGTGCGAATTGCGCTCAATTGTCAACAGTGCAACGTTGCGATTTCGATTTCGTATTCGTCATGATCTCTTGGCATTTTATTTTTAAAAAACGTTTTCATGCTCCGACAACAGATTAACAAAAAAAAAAACTTAACCGAAAATTAACAAAAGCCAGCCGCCTCAGCCGCCGCCAGACACTTTTTCCACATTTAGCATACAAAGTCATATTATACTTGAATTTGGTTCAATTAGCGAAAATACATAGTATAAGACGCCTACGCATCGCATCAAAGGTCCGCTTTTCATAAATTTTTATATAAATTGTAATTGTACAATATACAAAAACCGTACTACTATATAGACGATATTTGGAACTTTTGTTGATTTCACTTTTACCGCGCACTCACTTAATGATGGAGGGGTGGTGTGGGGGAGGTTGGGGTTGGGGAGCAATGTAAGTGCATATAAAGTGTATTGCGAAAAAATAAAGATGCTCTTTCTTGTCTAAATTTAAGAAATTTTCACGGTCATTCGCTCGCCAAAAATTTTCTCGACATTTCCCCCCAATTCTTCTTATGCATTTTCTTCTCCCATTTCCTCGAAAATTCTGCTGTCTTTACCCTTGGCAATTGTTGTTTGTTGGATTTTGGTGTTGTTATTGTTTTTATTTGGTTTTTGTTTTTGTTGTTGTTGGATTTTACAACATTTTTTCGCACATTACGTAAAATTCGTTCGTTTCGCGGACGGCAAGTGTCCAGTCCCGCTGCAGGTTCATTAAAAATTGTTCAAAACCACTTTGGGATTTTATAAATATTTGTCTTTTTTTTGTTTTTGGTTTTTTTTTATTTCATTTGACGTAGTCTGAGCCAAACAAAAATGCGCATAAATTGACAAGACTCTGTATTTTTTTTAACTTTTAACTTTTAAACGCCAGACAGCCCAGAGACTTAGTGGTTTTATTTTCATTTGTGTGGAAATATACTTTTTATTGCAAACATATATGTTTTTTTTTCGCGATAAGGTTACGACCGGAACTGGTTACCAAGAAATCAGAAACAAAACTATTTTTTTTTTTTATCAAAAAACCAAAAATTTAACCAGAAATTCGCACTAAAATCTATAGTTTTTTTGCTTGAAAATATTTTAAATAAATATTCTTCGTTGATTTTGGAATAGTTTTCTTTTTAGTTTCGGCGTATTGTCTCTTAGTATTTTTACCTTTTGAACAAACTACTAAATGTGATATATCCACTATTGTGGCAAACGCGGCGAATGCGCAACGCTTATATAGCGCACACCGATTCCGCGGAGCAAGAAGCAGCAGAACAGCGCCAGAGCGCCGCGAACTTTTTGTTGTTGCTCCCCCTCGAACGGTAAAAAAAGGCGCTCTCCGGCTCTCTCTTACGCTATATGTGTGTGAGTGGTGTTTTTGGGGGGGCCAGAAGGAGAAGAAGCGGCAAGAGAGTGTTGAGAGAGACGTCGAACGAAGGTCGAAAAGACGGCATGAATGAATTGGGGCCCGCCCGTGACTTGTTCTTGTTAGACTGTGTGTGTGTGTGTGTGCTGGTGTGTGTTAGCCAGCCGCCTCCTAGTCGTAGGTGTAATTATTGTTGGTATTCCTGTGCCGGCTTGGAGGCTGCGGCGAGCTAGCGATGACGCGTGTTCTTGAAGAGAAATAACCGCGACCTACTGGCACCGCAATCCAAAAGCCATTGTGGATACACTCTCTTAGAGGTCCTTGGCTTAGGTATCTTATAGGTTCTAAAATCTCATAGATAACTTGTATCTTTTGAGGTAAAATGTCTCTTTAAAAACCCTATTTTTTATGATAATAGCCCCTAATAAATAAACCCATTACTCATTGTATTTTTTATGGAAAAGCTTTTATATAAGATAACCCGATTGATTGAAGCATTAAGCCTTCTAATGATATGATAAGGTAATCCACAAAGCCTGATTAACCTTATAAACCGGTAAAAAGATATATGATACTAGTCATTATATCAGTTAGGATAATAACCCCATCGGTGTGATTATATTTCACTTAAAGTTTAGATTTTTTATTGATTTGTTTTGGCCGATGGTCGTGCGGCCTGGATGCTGAGGGCTGGCTCCTCAATGCGTTCGTATAAGTGCCAGCCAATTGATTTTTATTTACACACATATTTTCAATTGATTGTTATTAAATTGACTTTGAGGCGCGTGCAAATTTCTGGAAGCCTTGGGAAACATTTTGCGTGCCACAGACCACAGGCGACAACTTCTTCGATTTCAATATCAATTTAATCACTTTATCAATGAGTTTCGGGGGCCTGACGCAAGTCCCCCAGCCAAAACAAACGATGATGGATGACTGGGGGGTATAGCTATATACATACATACCTATAACAAAATATTCATATGAGTATTAAGCAAATAATTAACCATCACAAGTGTTTTTCCCTTCAATTTATTATTTATTGTTTTATTTATTTTTTCTCAAGATTTTAAAACAAATCGCGCCCCTAAAAAAAAAAGGAGAAAAAAAAAACGCGGGAGGGGGCTCGTCTATTTCATAACATGGCATAAACATTATCCGCAATGAGACGACACTATTTCCAAGTACCCGCCAGTGGGTTTATTTGTCAGATACAGATACAGATACGAACCGACCAGATACAGATACTCAAAATTTGGAAGGGGTCACCCTGAGTTATCGAAAGTAATGATTAGTATTTCAAGAAAAAAATAATAGTTGACTAATAAACACGTAATTAGTAATTATATTATTAGTCAGTTTTTTAATGTGCTCTGTTTCATGTGTTTTTTCAAACTAAGTGTAAAAAATTATTGAAATTCCTTAATTAATGACTCGTTACATCATTCTCAAGACTGGGTCTCGTGCTGCCTGCCCTCCGCACCCCCCGCTGGCCGAAAATGTTTTTTAAAAATTTCAACAATTAACGGAAAGTTTTAAAAACACGATTCTGCGAAGCACGCGTACGATTTTTGATATTTTTTGGCAGCATTTCCATTACCAGCGACCGTCATTTGCCCTCGAGTCGGAGTTGTGATCGGATCGGATCGGATCGTATCGCTTTTGGACGCTGGTTTCTTTTATTTTATTTTTTTTTATTATTTTGGCATGACTCAAGGCTTTGTCGAAATCGAGGAAAAGTAAAAACAAAAAAAATAACTCAAATTTGATGGATATTGTTTGTCGTTTTGACGCCCGGGGAAGGTCAAAGCAGAGGGGGGGCAAGCTAAATATCAGAACTTGATTGACGGGAATCTGAAACAAAGTCAGGGAGGGTCTCTGGTATATAGAGCAATGGGGTAAGCAAGCTGGCGTAATAGGAATTCTAAGTGGTGCAAAAAAATAAAAAAAAATAAACAAAAGTGCAATGAACTTTTTAAATAATTACACCAAAGAGAGGTAGTTTTAAACAAGAAATAGTACTATGGGAAAGAATTTATGACAATTATGATTCATAAAAGCATAATGATGTTTTTTTTAAGCATTCAAGGCTTTTGGCCCTTATCACTACAGATAGATAGATAGTTAGATACATATATCAGTAGTTTCGTTCAGCACATGACGTAACTGAACCAGAGCTTTCACGTAATTACCGTACTGTACTGATGCAAAATCACAGACCCACTTCCTCTTTTTCTATTTTTAGAGTTTTTTTTTCTGAAAAATAATCAAAAAAACCAAAACAGAAACCCCAACAAGCGCGACAAGTTGAGATGTTCAAATGCCACATAAGAGACGAGCCCCCCAGTCTATAGAGAGACCGAGAGAGAGTTAAAGAGAACTAGGGGGTGATGATTAAGGGGCACCTGGCAACAGGGTACGGGCGTAAGAGAGCTTAAATGCAAAAGGTGCTCGCATTACAACGTTAAGTGCATCAACCTATGAAGTTTTTTTTTCTGAGGTGGCGCAGGCGCACGACTTAACGTCGTTTTAACGGCTGATGCAATTGCGCATTTATTGCGTCAGATAAAAATTAAATACCTCAGATGTACATATAGATATGTATCTTGAAATTCCTTCTTGGTTTTGAAAAATTTCCATGCGCTAATTAAAGAACTCTGGCAATCCCTGGGAGGCTGGAGGCAACAAATTGAAACGAATTGCAAAAAATCATTAAGAGCTTATTTATCTAATTGGTGTTGGAGTCACATCAATTCAGCGAGCAATCAAGAAAAACTCCCCAAGTGCGAAAGAGATCTTTTTGCAACTCTCTCTCTTTGTGCTCTTTAATTTGTTTTGTTGTTTTTTGCTCGGAGCGGAATTAAACCAAAAATGCTAAAATTAGCTCAGCCAAAAGATATCAAAAAAAAAAAGAAAAAGAGACCAATAAGTTCAGTTAAGCATGTGATGCCGTAGCCCTTCTACTCTTTCCCACCCTCCGCCCACACTTAACGTCACGCGCCGATTTCGATTCAACAAAAAAAAAAAATAAATAAATACAAGTAAATAATGTATATATTTTGTAGATTTGCAAGTGTGTGTGTGTGTGTGTGTGTGGAGCTTGGTGGCGTTGCTGCTTTTGGCAAACCAGACGAGCCTCCAACTAACACAAATGACACTGTCCACATGTTTAAACACACAGATACTCTATACATACGCTTTTAGAAACGAGCTCCACATGGTGACTTTGCTCCAATTCTAAATTCTCCACTCAGACCTTTTTTGCGGAATTCGCAATCAGCCCCAGCCCCAGCCCAGTCCCGGGCCCGGCCTTTTTGAATTTGCTGATTAGAGGCCAGTGACGAATATCGTTGTGCAGAATTTTTTGTATTTCTTTTGGTAATCACTGCAACTATGTACTTTAAACCGAGAGTCCAGTCATTGATCGGCCGATCGCTGCCCCCCAAAGAAAGCTCTCGCTCTGTGAGAGCTTTTTTTTCGCCAAATAATCATTAGAAATTGGACTTTTGTTTTCTATTTATACACGGCTAATTTTCAATGGAAGTGCTTACCTAGTACAACAGCAAACACGTGTGCACATGAGACTTGTTTTTCCGATACGAAGAGCAAGTGAGCAAGCGAGACGGGGTACGGAAGAGAGTGACGATGGAGATGGAGAGAGATGCCTGGCACTCAGGCATCCAGGTAATTAAGGCGGCAAAATGGCAAGACCAGTGCCCTTCATCCAAGGTCAAAGTCGCAATGCCCCACCACCAGACGCTTGAGTTTCTGTCACCACCAGTGGCCAGTTCAAAGTTGTGAAGTTGCGTCAGAGCGCTCGCTAATAGAAACCCTAACTCAACGCAGATACATACATAGATACATCCGTACACACGTAGAGTATCTGCCAGATACATACGTATGTACGATCGACGTCTGGCTTGACTAGTTAGTCATACGGCCATAGTCTGCCAACATCCAGTATGCAAAGATTAAAATACTCCAACCGAGTCTGGTTTTGGCGGCTTTTAATTGATGGCCAGTGCCAGTGGATATTTATAAACTATCTCATGAATATGCACATTCCATTGAGGGTAAGAGTCGAAAAGTTCCGTTTGGGTTTATAGAGGGTGGTTCGGATATCGTAAGATAATCCAAACTATCTGTTTCCCGCTTATTTTTTAAACATTCCAAAGCATATCTATTACACTTAAAAGCCCACAATTAAATCGGAAGCCAACAAAAATGTCAATGGGACCTTTTATTGCAAAAAAGTCAACAAACAACTAATAACGGCATATTATGTGCTAACTACTTAATAACAGCCTTGACTTACGTGCAAAAATGTCCAACAGGTCGTAAATTATTTAGATATTGTTTCGCTGCTCCGAGGTCCCTAAAAGGTAAGAATATATATATTCATCCCTCTTCCCCATACTTCCAGACTCGTTGGAGAGCCCGCCACGTGGCAAGTAACAAGTTGGCAAATAGCCGGTGGTGAGAACATAGCCTCGGTGGCGCAGTTGGCAGCGCGTAAGTCTCATAATCTTAAGGTCGTGAGTTCGAGCCTCACCCGGGGCATGTACATTTTTTGCACCTTTTCTTATTTTATTTATTACTAGCCGACCAACGTCTGATATGGCTTATCGTCTTATACAGTCAGCACAACATTTATTCGGACACTCTCTATGAGCAAGTTTAATGGTTTATTTATTAAAACTTGGTCTCAATCCGAAGTCATTCTTGTTCCAGCAAGACAATGACCCGAAACATTCGTCATATTTGGTGCAAGAGTGGCTGGTATATCACTGTAAACAGCTAAAAACACCACCCCAGTCACCGGATTTAAATCCGATAGAACATGTGTGGGATATTCTGGAGAAAAGAATAAGGAAGCACGTCATTTCGTCGAAGGAGTCCTTAAAAACGGCATTGATGACTGAATGGGACCAAATTGGCGCGAATGAGACCGAAAACTTGGTCAAAAGCATGGGTCGACGCTTACAAGCTGTTATAGATGCTAAGGGAGGACCCACCAAGTACTAAGACCACCCCAACAAAAACTAATATGTTTTTTTTTGGTATATCAATGAAGTGTTCGAATAATTTTTGTGCGTAAAATATTGACTTTTTTTGTTTTTTTAAAGAAATACCTTATGTTAATGTTAAAAATTTCTTCTTTTTTTGTTAAAATAGACTGTAAGAAAGTCTCCACAATGAAATATAAAATGTTTGTTTGCGTTACGTTTTTGTTGAGTTATTAATGAATCAAGTTGAAAATCTGGGGTGTCCGAATAAATGTTGTGCTGACTGTATAAGACGATAAGCCATATCAGACGATAGAGGTTTCAGGGTTCAAAGGTTTCTTTTCCTCCTCATCTTCCTTAGTGGCTCCCAAGTTTTGAAGCTCCTTGAGTCCTGGATCGGGCAGTTGATGGCAGCCACTGTTCCAGGGCTGCAACGTGGACTCAGAGAAGAGCACATAGATGATTCCACTGCAGGTTAACATGGCGGAGCTTATCAGGAAGACATTCTTCCAGGCCTCCATTGTTTGCTGAAAAAGGATAGTATTTGATTAAAATATATTCTATATTTTGGAAAAACTAATAACTCACATTGTCATTAGTAAGCTGCCCCACAATCAAGGGGGAAATGAAACCAGGCAGACCCCCAATCATGCCACTCACACCCAGGACAATGCCGGCATAATTAGGCGACAGATCCACCATGGAAGCCAAAGGTCCCGAGGACACGGCGCCATGGAACATGGTGGCCACAGTCACCAGCACGATGGCAGCAGTGGCATTGTAACCAAAGTAAGCCAAAGCCAAGACAACCAGACCCTTGATACCACAGCCTGAAAAAGGAGAGGATACTTAATATCCTTACAGTTTCTTGTAAAACCCTATCTTACACGTGAAGGTGGCCAGTTTCCGGACATTTGTGCGACTCAGGCGATCCGTACGGAGCAGATAGTCGGCAAACATGGAGAAGACATAGGCGAAGAGCATCCTCATAAGATGTGGCAGTCCCGACAGGAAGCCCGTCTGGTAAATGACATTATTTCTTATAAAATAAAACCATAAATACATTTTTTATAAAATATCACTTACCGCTCGGATGTTCAAGTGATGGATGAGCCAGAAATAGGTCGGTGCGTGGGTCATCAAAGTAAAGAGGCCCCAGATACCGCCCCACTGAGCCACCACATTGCACCAAACTGGGAGCGAAGTGGCAATCTCCTCCCAGGGGATAGGACCAGGACTGGAATTCTGAACGGAAGCTCCCAAAGACTTTTCAATGTAACGCCTCTCGGAATCAGCAATGCGAGGATGCTCGGCAGGACTATCGAAAACCAGATACTGCCAGGCAATAAACCAGAGAGTGCCCACAATGCCGCAGATATAGTACACCCACTCCCAGCTGGTCCAGTCGATGATGTAACCAAAGATCGGATAAAAAAAAGCCACGCCAACCGAGCTACCCAAGTATGCGCTCACGAACTTGCTTCTCTCGTTGGGAGGGATCCATTTGGCAGTGAGGACGTGCATCGATGGCCAGGCCAGACCCTGGAATAATCATTACATGACTTTCTGAAACACTTTAGGAATATTTTTCTTACCGTTATCCAGCCCTGGAAGACACGAAGAGCTATCAATCCCGTATAACTCCAGTAGGAGACAATCGGTATCAAAAAGCAACAAAAGACACCAATGCCATTGGCCCAGCCGAAAATCAACTTGGTGCCATACTTGTGGGCCAAGATCCCACCAGGAATCTGCAGGGTCCAGTGAGCCCAGAAAAAGGATCCGAGCAGTGCACCCTGCTGCTCCCCAGTCCACTGGAAGCCCTCCTTCTCGTACGGAATCTGTGAGAGATGACGAAGATAACATGACGCCATTACTCATACGCCCTGTAGTGTGTCTCTTGCTGGATCGTTTAGTGGCTTCATTGAGCACTTCGACCAGTGCCAGTGAATCAGTCTTACGTATACTCACATTTGCCCAGTCCAAAAACCAGCGCTCCAGCGAGAATGATCTCTCTGTGATCTCCGGAAGAGCAGCCAATGCAGAGGAGCTCGCCAGGGAAGCATTAGCCGCAGCTGGTGCACCGTGGCCCACAATCATGTCCACAATGGTGATGCTCAGATTGATCCGGATCATGTAGTTCACAATGAAACCCATGAACGTCATGTACCAGAGCACTGTGCGGGCTGTGACTGGAAGATCAAACCGAAATACAAATGAAATGTGAAGCCACATCAAAGGCAGCTCAGCTGTGGTTGCTTCGGACTGAAGATCTTGAGCTAGATCTTGGATCTTCGATGATCTTGATCGTGGCCACATGAACTTCACACAAGAAACTTTTCATACCTTCGGCCATGGTGAAGGTTTCTTTTTTGGAGACGGTTCAGGAAACTGGGTATATCCGTCCGACGAGAACCAACTGCTGCGGACCGCAGCCGGAATAGAATGCCAGACCGGGTCAGCTTCCAGACGTTCCGTATCCGAGCAGCGCACGCAACTGATAAGCGCCAACTGATCTCGCGGATTATGCTGCAACTCGGCTCGTGATATTCCAGGAGACATTTTAATGGAAGGCAATTTACAATACATCTAAAGTCCCAAAACGAAAACAAAAACATTTCAAAGCAATAAAGAATATCCAACCAAGAGAAGAACTCAACCTTTTCAGGTTCAGTTTCTTATAAATGAAGACCCAGTGGTATTCTTAAACAACGTTTAATAATACAATTACATATATTTGTGTATTTTTACACCGATAAATTCACGTATCGCGATCTATTGAGAACTTGAGTCACAGTTGCCTGTATTGCTATTGCCACGGAAACATTTACATGAGGATCATTTCGTAGACTATCTACAAAGTATGCTTGTATCTCCGAAAATGTATCGTCTGAGCTACAAAACACCTTGGCCAGTGAGCGAGAGTCTGCTTAGGAATATGCTAGCATACGTATATTGATTTCTCACTTTCTAACAGTGATGCGAATCTGCCGTCGTGGGCGACACCGTCACAGGGCGTGGTGCTCCACAAGTGGCTTCCCACAGACGGCTCAGTACTCATCCGACATTCTCGTAGGATCGTGGGCGGGTGATGTTGCTGAGCTTGTTGCTGTTGCTGCTGCTGGTGAGGATGTTGTTGCTGCTGCTGGTGGGGATTGTGAGCGTGCTGGTGCTGCTGGGCCGGCGGTTGTTCGTTGCGGAGCTGGCTTAGCGGGAACATTATGTTGTGGGTCATCTGTGGGTGGTGCAGGTGTTGCTCGTTTGGCGGTGGAGGTGGCGGTTGCTGGTGGGTGGCATGGTGGGCTTGCGCAGCTTCAACGTGCTTGCGCTGTTCGCTTTGCTGCTGCTGGTGGACTTTGTCCACGGCACTCTCCTCGTACTTCTTTTGCAGCTGGAAGATCGGTAGCTGCTGAGCGCCGTGCAGAGGAACAGCAACGGATCCGGCAGCTGCCACCCGTTCCACCTGCGACTGCGGGGAGGATTCCCGCAGACAATTATAATTATAATTATAATTATAATAATTATATATAATAATTATTATTACTTAACTTATATAATTATAAGTTAATTAACACTTGTTAATTAATAATTAACAAGTGGATTGAAGTGAAGTTTAGATTAATTTCTATCCATTTTGGATTACAGGTAAAAGTAATAAAGAGATCTGGCCGGCCGTAATGACGAACATATGTCATTGCATCTTGTGCATATTCATGCATATGACGTGGGCTACCAATGTACGTCGCCGGCAGAATAGTTAATCGACCAATATTAGCTGCATTTCCTTCAGTACTAACTGCATCGCGTAAATGGATGTACTCCTCAGAACGCAGTTTGGCTTGGTTCAACCTAATAAATGTTAAACGTTCCGTTTCTATTTTTACATACATGTCAACGCAATACTGCTGAAACAATCGACGAAACCGCAGCAAATAGTTGTCAGCATTTTGACGAATCATCAAACGATATGCATAATAATTCATTGAGCTAACTTTCTTTGTAGTTTCTTCACCTGAAATTAAAAATTTGATAATTAACCATTTCAAAGGCAAATAATACAGTTTACTTTACCATTCAATGGATTTATCATTTTAATATTAAAATAATATCCATCTTCTCCTTTCCAAAACATCAGTGGGTATTGCAATGCGTCATATGATCGATGAGTTTCCGATATTTGTTGCAGTTGCCCAGTATCGCGACGTGTAAGCACAATATCGCGTTTTTCAAATTGTTCACCAACAATCAGGATGGCAACTTCGTCTACTGTTGGAGCATTAAATGTGCGTTCGTGTGTTCCAGATGGTCGTTTATCTGCTTTGATGACAACTTTATAGTCATCATTTGGCATGCGCTCTAAAGCACTGTTAAACAACCTGACCAACGCATGATGTTCATGAAGCAGACACTGCAAGTCTTGAAGAATTGCTCGCTTCATTCCTGCATTGATCCCTAGGCGTCGATCAAGTTGTTCTTCCATGTTGCCCATGAAATATATTTGTAAAAATTTATTCTGTGTATCTTCGAAAGGTAGTAATGATCCAATTCGATGGTGAATCTGTCCTTGTATCTACAAAATAAAAACCAGATTCTTTAACTACATTCTATGTAAGTACAAAAATAAATACCTTAAATGTCGGATTAAAACCTCCTTCTTCGATAATGTCTGCCCCAAATGACGTCATTTGGAAACAACTATTGTATTTTCGAGTATTTGCAAGAAAGTGGCGTGATTCTTGTGTTTCGCCGCAAAGCAATGAATACAATGGCTCTTGTGGCGGAGTCAACACTGGCAATTTCACTTTACCATTAACGCAGCATAATCCAGGCGTTTCTCCGGAAAACTTTAATGCACCACAATACTCGCAAACAACGTCCATTTGCCCAATGCAAACGCTAGGATGCAAGCTGTAATCATTGCTGCAATCGTATCGAAACGCAGCTCGATTCAAATCAGCTAAATATCTGCGTCGCAAATTGAAATCTATTTGAGAAGCACGAAGTCGAGCCATACTATTGCGGCGCTGTTCACGTGCAATTTCTCGTTCTTCTTCAGTACTTTCATATGCAATATTTTGTATTCTTCTTGCATTACGGCTTTGTCGGGAAAGATTCGACCGTCTTGGTCGCGGCATTATTAATTAAACTTCACTTCACTTCAATCCACTTGTCAATTATTTATTTAATAGAAATAGTTTTAATATTGATTTCAGCGCAACAGAATCTTTTTGGTTCATTGTTAAATTTGAGAGCCTGACTATGAATTTGACTTCGTTTGTAACTGACATTTTGACATTTGACATTTTCTTCTTAGCTGTCTGCCTAAATAAAAAAGTATGGGCCAGGGAGGAACGCTGTCGAACGGGACAAAAAGTATCCTATGTCCTTCTCCTGGCTCTAAGCTACCTCCCTACCAATTTTCACTCAAATCTGTTCTTCCGTTCTTGATTTATAAGTGTTGTAACATAAAACACGTTGTTCTTTTATATATATAGATTTTTAAATATTTTTTCAATAAATATCCATCACTATATCCTATATATGATATATCCTATAGGGGAAAACCCCATTTTCAAGGGATCCCATCAGGAAAAATGGACAAAAAATCTGAAAAATATTTTGTCTCAGGGCTTTGATGCAGAATTGTGGAGAATCGATCTAGAAATCGTTTAAGGTACTCCGCTTGAGAATCGGATGAAAATTGGGGAAGATATAGCTATCACCACTATCAGCACTATAGGGGAAAACCCCATTTTCAAGGGGTCCCATCAGGAAAAATGGACAAAAAATCGAACAAATATTTTGTCTCAGGATTTTGATGCAAAATGGTGGAGAATCCGCCTAGAAATCGTTTAAGGTACTCCGCTTGAGAATCGGATGAGAATTGGGGAAGATATAGCTCTCACCGTGGGCCCTATAGGGGAAAACCCCATTTTCAAGGGGTCCCATAAGGAAAAATGGACAATAAATCTGAAAAATATTTTGTCTCGGGATTTTGACGCAGAATGGTGGGAAATCGATCTGCAAATCGTTTAAGGTACTCCGCTTGAGAATCGGATGAGAATTGAGGAAGATATAGCCATCGCCGGGGCCATATAGGGGAAAACCCCATTTTCAAGGGATCCCATCAGGAAAAATGGACAATAAATCTGAAAAATATTTTGTCTCGGGATTTTGACGCAGAATGGTGGGAAATCGATCTGCAAATCGTTTAAGGTACTCCGCTTGAGAATCGGATGAGAATTGAGGAAGATATAGCCATCGCCGGGGCCAATATGGGGAAAACCCCATTTTCAAGGGATCCCATCAGGAAAAATGGACAATAAATCTGAAAAATATTTTGTCTCGGGATTTTGATGCAGAATGGTGGAGAATCGATCTAGAAATCGTTTAAGGTACTCCGCTTGAGAATCGAATAAGAATTGGGGAAGATATAGCCATCGCCGTGGGCCATATAGGGGAAAACCCCATTTTCAAGGGGTCCCATCAGGAAAAATGGACAAAAAATCGAAAAAATATTTTGTCTCTGGATTTTTATGCAGAATTGTGGAGAATCGATCTAGAAATCGTTTAAGGTACTCCGCTTGAGAATCGGGTGAGAATTGGGGAAGATATAGCCAGCACCGTGGGCCCTATTGGGGAAAACCCCATTTTCAAGGGATCCCATCAGGAAAAATGGACAAAATTTCTGAAAAATATTTTGTCTCAGGATTTTGATGCAGAATTGTGGAGAATCGATCTAGAAATCGTTTAAGGTACTCCGCTTGAGAATCGGATGAGAATTGAGGAAGCCAGCACCGTGGGCCCTATAGGGGAAAACCCCATTTTCAAGGGATCCCATCAGGAAAAATGGACAAAAAATCTGAAAAATATTTTGTCTCAGGGTTTTGATGCAGAATTGTGGAGAATCGATCTAGAAATCGTTTAAGGTACTCCGCTTGAGAATCGGATAAGAATTAAGCAAGATATAGCCATCGCCGTGGGCCCTATAGGGGAAAACTTAATTTTCAAGGGATCCCATCAGGAAAAATGGACAAAAAATCTGAAAAATATTTTGTCTCAGGGTTTTGATGCAGAATGGTGGAGAATCGATCTAGAAATCGTTTAAGGTACTTCTCTTGAGAATCGGATGAGAATTGGGGAAGATATAGCCAGCACCGTGGGCCCTATAGGGGAAAACCCCATTTTCAAGGGATCCCATCAGGAAAAATGGACAAAAAATCTGAAAAATATTTTGTTTCAAGGTTTTGATGCAGAACGGTGGAGAATCGATTTAGAAATCGTTTAAGATACTCCGCTTGAGAATCGGATAAGAATTAAGCAAGATATAGCCATCGCCGTGGGCCCTATAGGGGAAAACCCTATTTTCAAGGGATCCCATCAGGAAAAATGGACAAAAAATCTGAAAAATATTTTGTCTCAGGGTTTTGATGCAGAATGGTGGAGAATCGATCTAGAAATCGTTTAAGGTACTCCGCTTGAGAATCGGATAAGAATTGGGGAAGATATAGCCAGCACCGTGGGCCCTATAGGGGAAAACCCCATTTTCAAGGGATCCCATCAGGAAAAATGGACAAAAAATCTGAAAAATATTTTGTCTCAAGGTTTTGATGCAGAACGGTGGAGAATCGATTTAGAAATCGCTTAAGATACTCCGCTTGAGAATCGGATAAGAATTAAGCAAGATATAGCCATCGCCGTGGGCCCTATAGGAGAAAACTTAATTTTCAAGGGATCCCACCAGGAAAAATGGCCAAAAAATCTGAAAAATATTTTGTCTCAGGGTTTTGATGCAGAATTGTGGAGAATCGATCTAGAAATCGTTTAAAGTACTCCGCTTGAGAATCGGATGAGAATTGAGGAAGATATAGCCATCGCCGGGGCCATATAGGGGAAAACCCCATTTTCAAGGGATCCCATCAGAAAAAATGGACAAAAAATCTGAAAAATATTTTGTCTCAGGATTTTGATGCAGAATGGTGGAGAATCGATTTAGAAATCGCTTAAGATACTCCGCTTGAGAATCGGATAAGAATTAAGCAAGATATAGCCATCGCCGTGGGCCCTATAGGAGAAAACTTAATTTTCAAGGGATCCCACCAGGAAAAATGGCCAAAAAATCTGAAAAATATTTTGTCTCAGGGTTTTGATGCAGAATGGTGGAGAATCGATTTAGAAATCGTTTAAGGTACTCCGCTTGAGAATCGGATAAGAATTGAAGAAGATATAGCCATCGCCGTGGGCCATATAGGGGAAAACACCATTTTCAAGGGGTCCCATCAGGAAAAATTAACAAAAAATCGAAAAAATATTTTGTCTCAGGATTTTGATGCAGAATGGTGGCAAATCGATCTAGAAATCGTTTAAGGTACTCCGCTTGAGAATCGAATAAGAATTGGGGAAGATATAGCCATCGCCGTGGGCCATATAGGGGAAAACCCCATTTTCAAGGGGTCCCATCAGGAAAAATGGACAAAAAATCGAAAAAATATTTTGTCTCTGGATTTTTATGCAGAATTGTGGAGAATCGATCTAGAAATCGTTTAAGGTACTCCGCTTGAGAATCGGGTGAGAATTGGGGAAGATACAGCCATCACAGTGGGCCCTATAGGGGAAAACATTTTCAAGGATCAAGGATTAACCGCATGGGTATGTTTTATTTTTTTGTTTTATTTTATTTCCTTTCCTCCAACAATACAACTTAATTTCTATATTTTATGATTTCTTCAAAATAGTTTGTTTTTTACCTAATTTAAATATTTTTTGAGTGCACGCGAAGCAGCTGAGAAATCCGTTCATAAATAGAAAATGCACGGCAATAAAATGGCACTGTCGTGCTGCCTGGATTATTACGGCTACAAAAGGTGGACCAGTTATTCAGTTACAGCGACAGTTACCCGGGTAATTATACAGCCATTACGGATGACATTAGCTTCTTCCAGCTAGCGACTCGACAAAGGCAAACAATGGCAGGGGAATGCTCCCCTAGAATGATCGGATCAGTGGGGCTGGACCTGTGGGGATGGTTATTACAGTATGGGTTGGATTAGACGACGACTACGATGATGATGATGATGATGAATGGTGTCAATATTTGAGCACACCCACACCGGCTGAATGTCACGCGGTAGACGACAGTGGGTTAAGGCCAGAAACCTGTACTAACTGGATATAGTGCCTTAGGTCGGAGTTTAAGATGAGTCGGGTGATATCCTCCTTATCACGATATTTCCTGGTAACTCCAGCTGTACTGGATTGTCTTTCACGATGGACACCTGAGGGTTTTATTTTTTTTATTCCTTCCCCATATATGACACCTTTTTGCACCTGCCCGAATCGCATGTCTTATGTAAAGCGTGCCAAAAAGTCGACGCAAGGTCAGCGAGATCGGGTATTACTTTTGAAATGAATTCAGATAACGAGACATCCAGACATCCAGTAAAGGGCGAAGGGAAAGACAATGCAATCTGATCTCTCATTTTACAGATCTGGTGAGAACATATGGCAAGAGATGCCTCCAGGGGGGAGAGGGGGAGGCAAGACCCAAATTTTAAAGCTAGTGGAAAATTTTATGGAAAATTACCCCGAGGGCAATGTACACACATCCCAGATACTCAGAGATACATTCGTCCAAATGCAGGAGTGCAAAGATTTATGGGATGGCTGAAACAAAAACGAAAATCAAAATTTTCCACTCTCTCAACGACTGCAAGTGATGTATCTGTATCTGTCTTTGTATCTATATGTGTCTGTAAAAAGTATCTTGGCCCCACAGCTCTTTTTTTTTTCTCATAAATTTTAAGTTTGCACTGAATTCTCCTTCGATCGTTCTCCGATCTCTGCGCATGTGATCGGTCATGTATCTCGGTACGTGTGTATCTGTATCTGAATCTGTATAAAAGCCATTAACCATCTATGTATGTATCTACATATGTGGTCCATTTATTGACCACTACAGAGTGGAACAAGCCAGAAACTGCTGGCTGTATTTCTGTGCAATTTCTTCGAATGTCGGCAATGCAGAAATATTCTCGAAAGTATTCGTACTGGCTCGGTCTAGGTGGTTTTTAGACTGCCTACTTAAGAGGCCTTGAAATACCATATAGTATGATTAATATTAAAACCGAATCCCAATCAAAGATCACTTACTAATTGGATGATCTTAGAACTATAAAAAATATTTACCTTTAACTTTTTTTTTCAGCACAAAATAGAGAGAGACTTATTCTTTTTTTTTATTTTTTTTTTTCCTTAGCTTGTTAATTTCTTCTAAATGCCTGAATTATTTTACCCACCGACCTGGACAATTAACAGTTAGCTACTAACATTCACACCTTCAATTTGGTCACATGTGTGACTTTCCACGTACCGATATGCCAATGTGATCTATACCTGAAGATAATGTTAAAAAAAAATAGTGTTTTTGTTAAAAAAATCACCCACAGTGCAAAGTTTCCACGAGGCTAACGGAGATTTCCATGCGTAGGGCATGGGAGAGATCTGTGCAGCCGATTCCCCATTTGGATGGGGGGGATGCACTTAAGAGAGCAAACTGAAAAGAGCTCTGCTCAAGAGAGAGACAGTGAGAGACGAAATGGGTATGAAGAGCAGGTTTGGGGGCACGTTCGGTGTTTTTTTGTTATTTTTGTTGGTTTGTTGGCTGCTGGGCGACAAGCCCCCGTGCGTGACGTCACGTAATCAAGACCGTTACAGCAAACGCGAAACGAGTTGGTTGCTGGTGGGGAGTGGGGGCCGAGAGGGGGGGCCACCGACGAGCCGCAATCATGCAACGTGACACGCGCAACGAAGTACAAAAAAAAGATAGGTATATGAATAAATAATAAAAAAATTATAATAAAGACGAACATGTGACCAATTTGTCGGTAAATTGAGTGCATCGATGATAAGACGCAGATATTATCGCCCCGATAAAATACCCATAGAGGTGTCAGTGGCGTATGGCCGCCCCAACCCTTTTTTGAAGCCGCGGGTCGCAAGTGTGAGATTTAACGAGCACTCGCTATTGTGGCTATGGTGGGTCTATATTTAGGCCTTAGCCACGATCCCAGACAGATTCCGCCAGTGCAACCGACAACCTTGAACTTAGACTTGCATAACCGCCCCAGACGGCCCACTGCCCACATTTGCATATCGCGCCGCTGCTCGATTAGATCCGAGGTACTTGTCTGGTGTCTGGTCAGGTGCACCAAACTGGAATTTTAAATCACACCACTGTCGAGCCTGTCGAATGCTATCGCATTGTATCGGCCGACCTGTAATCGGAACAATAACCAACCACTATAATATGACCGGGCCAGTTCGACTGGTTTGTGATACCCTACCCGCTATAGTCTATAGGGTATTTGGATTACTGAGACAAGTTAGCCTAATATATACTCAATAAATTATATAGCCTGTTGTAAGAGTCTATTGTTTTAACTAATGATTAATGTCATTAGTGGACCCACCCATTATTATACTAAATGCATTTAAAAATATATATCTCACCACACCCTTCAGATGAATAATGCCTACTATAGGGTCTTTATGATTCTGTAGACTTTTAGGTGTCGGATCAGCTTCCGACACGACTCGAGTCAGGTGAGTTAGCTCGTCTAGAGTCGCACAATGTCGCCTGATGTTGTCTAATATAGTCTAAAAATCGGCTGAGACGGGCACGTTTGCGATCGGAGCTCGAACTCGGAGTAATATTGTGCAATTAACCCGTTCGGAGCTCAACTGTCGCCCGACAGTCGCATTTTTCCTAAATGCATATTCATATGGACATATCTGAGAGATACCCCCCCAGGGAGGGCCTATAAACGAAGTCAAATACCGATCCGCCTGACTTGACTTCCCAGACACACCCCCTTCGCGCCACTGGCCACTAAATTGGAGAGCCCTCCCCCCAGAAAGATTCGCAGATTTTTTCCAATGACGCAGTTAGACTCGTTTTGCATATTTTTCCACTAACTATACCATACCATATACCATCGCCATTTACATATCGGATCTAAATGAATCAATTTACTATTTATTGGTAGATATTTAAATTTAATGGGTCTCCTAGTGAACAGCAGACTGATTGATCGATTATGGATACGGTCTGGGGAAGCTGCAAAGGTGGCACTTTTCCGGGCCGAGCCCTCTAAAAATTTTCCATAGTCCGTAATTGTTTATTGACTTGATTGACTTTAACGCTAGACAATATTCATATATTGTTAATTGAAAATAGCGATGCCATTTGATTGAGTTTATTTGTACCCAATATTTTTTTTATTTTTGTTAACTTACGCAAGAACCAAGAACAAGTTTGTGACGCCCTGATCTTAGTCGATTTTCTCGAAAAACACCTGTGTCAATGTTCGAGCAATACCATAGGCATAAAAGGTGAAATCCAAGCGGTAGGTGCCAGAGGGTACCGGCATATTGATCTTGTCTAGCTCCAGGGCGAACTTCTCCACCGTCATATGGTTCTAAAATAAAATAGTGTTATACTACTGCCCTAATTTAATTTAATTTCATAATATTTACTTCCTTCCATGGACAAGAATGATTAAAGTTGCTATGCTTTCGTATAGAATCGAATATAAATCGTTCGAAGGATATAGCATAATTGGCACTGCTCATCAGCTTGCAGAAATCAAAGAGTATATTGTACATAAAAGGACGATACCCATCACGTCTTTGGAAGCATTGCAGTCGGGCTGTCAAGTTCCGGATCGGAAGCTGCAGGAGACTGACCTTCAGGGAGAGCTCTACGTGATTCCTACGGATCACTTTCAGGCGGCAATATTCATATTTTGTAAAACCCCTCGAAGTTGGTAGATCCATGCACTTGACATTGGTGAATTTTAAAAGACGAGTGCCCTTTTTGGAAATTATTTAAAAATTATAAATAGTTGTATTTTAAGTATTTATATATCTTACGTGTAAAAAACGGGATAAAAATAGGAGGAATATAAGCACAAACAAATATTTCGATGCCATTTTAAAGGAATGATCCAATACTTGACTAAAATTTTCAAAAATATTCTCGTAAACATTAAACCTCTAGCTATTAACCTGAAAACTATATGACTGATAATTACAAATGTTATAATTACAATTATTTTCAAATTTGGCTAAACAATTAAAAAACAATTTAATAGGGAGCCCCCCTATAGGATTAGAGGTAACTTTTCCCCTGGTTCAGTGACCATTTAAGTCCCGAAATTACCATTAAGCAGTTTTCACAAACCAATCTATTGACTTCTTCTTCAATTACAAGTTACAAACGAACCAAAAAAAAATTTACAAAAAAATAATCCAAATTCTTGGAAGTATGTTAAGAATTTCCTGTTTTCGATCCAGTTTCGCTTACACAAAAAAAAGTGCTAAGCCCAGAAGAAATTGTGCGACGATTTTCACACCAAAAAAATAAAAACATAATTCCTTGACTCATCGCTTGTCATTTCTTATTTTTCTTGTAAGTTTTATATTTTGTTTCATTGTTTTTATTTTTGGCCAGGTCAGCAGCATTCTCGGTTGCAACGCCAGCCAATGTGGCGTATACGTGATGCCTAACAAGTCGTTCGACAACGACGACGCATTTACCCTCTTCTTGTTGTTTTTTCGAAGGTGTATTTGTAAAATTTCTGCCGATGCGATCATATTTCGAAATGTCAACACCAACCACCACCTGCAGGTCTCCCAAGCGGCTCAGGTGATGCCGGGCTACAAAAAAAATAAAAAACCAAATACCTACCTAAATTATGAGCCAGTGATTGAACCATTTTTGCATTGACTTGGCGAAATTCGTCGGTGATTCTGAGAAACCGACTTTTCGGGCTGTTGAAAAACGATTCGACTTCCAATTTGGGCCGCTGGCTCAGTACAGTGACCCCTCCCACGAACAACAACAACAACAACAGATACTACAGATACCTGAACTTGACTAAAATAAGAAAAGCTGAAAGTTTAAGGGCTTGGGATGGTAAAGGGAAGGGGGAAGGGAAGGCTCGTCGAATTGTGATTTACTTTGCACTTATTTTTTATTGGCCTTTTGTTGAATGAACATTTTCGACGATTTTTGTGTGAATAATTTTCTGAATGGAGTACCCAGTACTCCGCAAATAAAAATATCAAATAACTGCAATCGGTGGAATTATGGGATAGCTTTTTTTGGTTGAAATATATGAACAGGAAATGGTGTCAGTGTGGGAGGTTCATTTGCGTCACAGGAACGCAAGATTTATAAACTTTTCAGTTCCTGGAGTATTACAGGTTGTTTCTAATATTTATTTTATATTTCCAGATTCTTGTCTTCGATGTCAGGCGGACAACAAGCGTGATGTTATGGGTCGGCAGGATTGCGTTGTGGTATGGGGCGAGTGCAACCACTCCTTCCATCATTGCTGCATGAGCCTGTGGGTGAAGCAAAATAATCGATGCCCTCTCTGCCAACAAGAATGGTCCATCCAGCGCATGGGCAAGTGAGCCCTTCTAGCACACTCATGTCATTTAGTTTAAAATTAAATAAAGAACATTTTTATAATTAAAATAAAAAAAATCGTTTTAAAATAAACAAAAAAATTTACATGCCCCGGGTGAGGCTCGAACTCACGACCTTAAGATTATGAGACTTACGCGCTGCCAACTGCGCCACCGAGGCTATGTTTTTCTGCCAGCCTAAGCAGCAGTTGAGCCACCAAACGTTCTAGAGTTAGAACAAAAAGTGTTCTAAGTAAATAAATATCCCATAAATGGTTTATTTAATGTTTTTTGAGCAAATTAAAGATGCTTAAAAGCTTTTTATTGTGTTTCCAGCGGAAAAAAGTCCACTTAGCTTGTATGAGTCATTGGCAAAGCGTCCACCACCTGTCCCTTTGGCGCAGAGGATAGCGCGTTGGACTTCTAATCCAAAGGTCGCGGGTTCGATCCCCGCAAGGGATGACAACAAAAGTTGCAAATTTATTTTTTATTTTTTTTTTTAACAACTATTTTATTAAATTTAGGTTATCACATTTAACGTTGAAGAATTATGAAGACTTGGGCTGAAGCGATGGGGAAAGATTGCGCTCCAGGACAGGACTGCTCAGGCGGAGTTTTTCCACATCGGCGGCATTGGTGGACAAGCTCTCTTCTGACAAACGTTTGGCCCGCAGTTCTTGAATAGATGCTGTCAATAAGAGATAGAGGATATTTAAATTTCACCAGTAATTCATTTTTAAATCATCCAAAACGTACGGCTGTAGGGAGTGTATTTGTCGGATAACATGCCCTCCAGGTTGTAGCCAATGAAACCGACCACGCCGGCGATAGGCAAAGTGATGTAGACAGCGTTGCGGCGGAGGATAGCTAAAATAATAGGCCACATTATGCCGTAGATTTAATTTATACGTTTAAAATAAAAGACAGGTAACAGCGTGGAAAGTTATAGAATCAGCCGGAAAGATGCCGGACAGCTAAAATTGGTACAAACAGCTGATTTTGGTATTTAATAGAGAAAATACCAAAACAGCTGTTGGCCGGGCTGCCAGACTCGAACAAAAAAATCAAAGTTGGCATCGCCAAAACAGTTGCCATTGTGTGGGTATTTGGTATTGGGTACGATAACAAACAAACGCAGTTTTCCACCATAGAAAATCGCAATTACATAAAAACAATAAACGTTAGCGGACAGCCGCAAGGAAAATCAAAGTAAAAGCGGTTAACAAGTGCGCGGCAAGCGGGGCAGCCAATTGTCAAAAACGGGAATCGAAAAAGATGCAAGAACAAGAAACGATTTACGCATTACGAAGCTTGTTGCAGTTTCTTGTTGTAATGCCAATAAGGGGCGCTGCAGTGGTGCAGTTTTTTGTTTTTGGCTTGTGATGTAGCCAGCCACCAACACACTGGCCAAACCACAAACACCGTTACCACTCTCCGGCTACTATCCAGTGCAATCAGCAATTAAAACGCAATCAGAACAAAGAACTACCAGGACGCATAATTTCCTGCTTGGTGTAGCAGTGTAGCCTACACACACTCGCGCTCACGCTCACGCACACCCACACAGCTACACCACAAGCCCCACAAAGAGAGAGAGCGAGCGGTCGTGTGGGGGGCAACAAAGAACATCGGTGGGGAGCTGCTGCATTTCTAGACATCCAAGTTCCGGATATATCCATGCAAAAAATGACCAATTCGGGACGGCATCATCATCGATTTGAAGTAAGTAGTCCAATAAGATTTGAAGTAAATAATCTCTAAACCAAAGGTCATACAAGTGTCAAATCTTTGACCTTTTTATAAATATAATTCAATAAAATAGTTCTTAAAGATTTAAAGCTAAGGTCAAGTTGGAAGGTCAGTGCCAAAGGAAGATAGCTTCATAATCCCAATAAGAAACCCCAGACTAGTTGTCTCAGAGCGTGGGAATGAACGAATTTCTGGAATTAATTTGTGTTCTTGGCTTTGGGGATCATTCTTTAGTCTTTTAATTTGTTGATTTTATTTTGTTTGCTCTTCTAGACAGTTAGTCAGACACCAAGCCCCAAGCCCCAAGCCCCTGATTAAAACTGTAGGTCGTTTGTTTTTATGGGAAAGCGAGTTCTTTGTCCTTCCTTTGAAGTCGAAGGGGGGGCGACGAAAAAGGAAGCAATACCAACAGGAGTTTGTTTCCTTTGTTGGGTCTTAAGAGACGGAGAGGGAGGGGGTGGGGGAGGAGTTTCCCTTCCCCACAGCTCGTAAAAGTGTAAGTGGCTAATGCCTTTTGCCGAGGTCTTGGAAAATTGTATGCTTGTCTTGCGGCAAAAGTGCAATAAACTCACTTGCTGGCGGCGACTCACCCCCAATCTTAAACCCCCTTAAGCCCACCACCCACCCCTTGCCCGACCAACTTTGGATAATGACCAGTGACGAACTCTGAGGACTTGTGAGAAATTGGAAATTCTTCGAATTGGAAATAAGCAAAACGCTATCCATTTGTTAGACGTGTGTTAATTGAAGGTAAGGGGGTAAGGGGGGTAATGGCCAACCTGCAGAGAGTGGGGTAAGAAAGGGAAGTGACAGACTCGTTTTAATTGCGTTCTCCTAGGTTTTAATCACGGGGAAGTGTTTATTATTTTGGAGCTTATTGATTGCCTTGGTATTTGGAGTACTTATCTAGGCCCCAAAGCCCCCAGAGAGAGAGAGTGCTCGATGGGTTGGATAAACAATAGATATTCATAGTTTATTTTTAAACCAAGTTTTTAAGTAACAATTTATTTTGAATATTTTAAGGCCAATTGTATAGTTTCCAGCTGACCCTGCCTAAAGGTTCAAGTAGTTGTCTAAGGGCATCTAAAGTTCTAAATGTTTTTTTTTTGTTTGGTCAGTGTCTGCACTCTCTCTCTGTCTGTCTGTCTTGCTCTTTCATATCTCAAAACAGACTCTCGCTCTCATTGAGATTTCGCTGTTTTTGTGGTTTGCCTTTGTTGCCTGCTGGTGGGTGCATTGCCCCGCCCCCCCCACTCACTCTCGCACGCAGCTGATATTATGCTTCCCTTCGCACACTCTCTCTCTCACTGTCGTCTCTCGTCCACCCCCTACCCACCCCCTTGTGGTTGTGCATTTCCCAAAACAGAGCGCCACGGGAGAGAGAGCGCCACATGCGATTTCAGCTGTTTTTCGGAGCTTGGCCAGAGTTCAGAAACGGTTGTCCGCGTCAAGTTCTCATTCTGCGCTCTGTTGTCACCGATGTTGGCTCGCGAAAAGCGCTGTGCTCTCCTCCTCCGTTTCGCCCCCCCACGTTCGTGCCAGCCTGCTGCATTCACAGCCAAGGAAAAACGGGAAAAACTCAATCGAATAACAGAAAATCCAATTTTGTTTCCCGCTCGTGGGCCTCAATGCAATTAACTGCAAAAACTCCAAAGTCCAGCCTAAAATTTAAACAAATGGTATTACAATTGGGTTCTTTTGGTCAAAAAAAAAAAAAAAAAACAGGAAGAAATGTGAAAGTGTGCAAGGAATATTTGTGTGTGTGTGTGCAGTGTGTGCAGTGTGTGCAGTTTACTGTTGTTTTTGGGGAGGCTTTTCCGACTTGCCGTTTTCTGTTTTCCGTTTCTCGTGTGTCATCAGCTGTTTTCCTTTTTTAAGATATCCCATTGTTATGCCAGCGATAAGGTTTTATGATTTATTTTGTTTTCTATATAGAAGTCTATATTTATAAGGAACAACAAAAACAACAACAAATATAAAAATCCATTGAGTGCAACCCAATTTGGATGCTGACCCAGTTTCCCTTCTTCACTGACCTTGCTCGTATTACATACACATACACATACCCACACATATACATATATCTTATATATATATGGGTATTATACAGAAGTGCTTGTCTATCAGTTGCTATCAACTCTCAACTCTTTGTGGGCCAGCTGACCCGGCCATGGCTTATATAAAATGCAGCTCTCTGATTTGTTGTCATGTGGGGCCCAGTACACAATATTTTCCACCTCCCCCCCCCTCCTTCGTTCGAGGTCACTTGGTGGAAAGTAAATGCCCGACTGGGAATTTAAAATTTGTTTACCTTTCACACACAGACACACGCACACCACCTTTCCAAATAGGCGCCGCCTCCTTTTTCCACCCACTTTCCCCGCGTGTCAGCTGTTTTATTTTCAAAACTATGTGCACGTTACGTATACGCCATGTGTTGCATGATCAAATAATAAATAATAAACCACGCCAAACGCAGGCATCGTGGCATCAAGCGAAATGCCTTGCACTTGTCGCTTCCCCGTCACTTAAGGCGAATTGAATTGAAACTATTTGCTGCACTTGAATTTGCATAAGTACGTGTGAAAGATATAGCGCCTCGGATCGGCCACATATATGTAACCAGTGGGTGGACTCGTTTTCTTCCATTGTCGTCGGCTGGCGAATGAGCTCTGATTGAATTCCAGGCCACATTGAGTGTTAATTTTCGCATTAAAGTTCCTTAAAAAGTGTAATTTATTGGACCTTCGATCGAATCATACATATTCAAGCATTACAATTGTGGAAATTTAATATTTTAATATTCAGGGTTTCTTCTTGCAACAAAGAAAGGAATATTGTAAACCTTTTTAATACTCTACTGGAGGTAATCCTCCAAGGTGGTCACTTTTCCAAGGCATGCACGCTTCTCAATGACCATAATTAGGGGGGTAATAAAGCTCTCTGAAGAGCTCAAAATTAAAGTACTTAAAGAAATATGTTCAACTTGTGATTAAAACTTTGAAAAAAAAAGACCATAAACACTACAATCTTCACTGGCACTTAAAAATCTCGAAAATAGTCGAATATTTATGACATATTTCCAATGTACCCTACCTCCCATAGAGGGTGTATGGTGTTGTTCTTGCTTTTGTAATCAATTCAATCTCGTGTTATTGTCATTATTATTTATATACACTTATTTCTTGTTCGCGCTTCGCTCAAATTCGTCACACGTCCGATCGATTGCCTTTTTTAAATTGCCTCTGATGACTTTTCATTTAAGTTGAATGCCACATGGCTGGTCGATGGTCGATGGTCGTTGGTCGGTGGGTGGGGGTTGTGGGTTGTTGGTCTTAAAGTTGGGTGCGCATTTCAATTAGAGCACGCTCGTGACCTTGCTGGGCGAAACTCTATGTCTCTTGATTGTTTTTTTTTTTGTTTTCTGTCAAAGTCTCGTAATAAATTCCGCTGTTCTATTTTCCACGTGCTTAACAACACCATTTTTGGATGTCACCAACCAGTTCCTGCTGCAATAAGCGATTTAAGAATTAAAAACAAAAATAAGAAACCACTTTTGGCCAAAAAATAAAAACAGAAAAAAAAAAAACAAAAGAGAGCCAGAGGCCAAGAGAGCAACGTATTGAAGACGCAATTTGTGAATATTTTAATCGTGCATTCACTTCCCCCATTCGGAAGAGAGGGCCGCCACGCCGAACGCCAAAGAGTGTGAGTGCAAAGAGTTAATTGAATTAACTCCAAAGAGAGGCCATCTACCACTGTGAGCACTGCTACTGATAAGCAGCGGGACAAAAGAAAGAGGTGCCATTGCCATTTCAGCGGAATGTTTGCCAACGGCGAGGGCGGTGGCATGAGGTCGGGGGGCAGCAGCAGCAGCAATGGTGGCGCCGCCGGCGCTAGCGGCAGCATCGAACTCCTCTGCCCGCCCAGTGGTAGCAGCAGCATCAGTGGCAGTGCCAGCTTCAGCAGCAGCAGTGGAGCCAGCAGCAGCAACACCCACAGCACAGCTGTCAGTAGTGAGTCCAACAACAATAGCAGCAGCAGCAACAACTCTACTGGCGGCAGCAACAACAACAATCACAATCCGAGCTTACAAATCAGGCATCATCACAGCAACAACCTCAATGCAACAGCCGCAGCAGCAACCAGCAACAATAATCATAACGGTAGCGGCAACCTAATCAGCGGCATTTGCAGCAGCATTTGGCGATCGGCCACCTTTGGTAGTGCTGCTCCGGTGGTGCCACCCACGCCACTACCAGATCCTAGTCCAAAGACCATGGAAAGCAGCAGCGACAGCTCCTCGCTTAGTTCCTCGCTGTCGCCCGAAGAGCAACATAATCAAAGGACAGTGGCCACCGGCACAGAAGTGCCACTGCAGGATCAGTCCGTAAGAAAAATCAAGAAGAAAAATCATTTCCCACTTCAGCGGTCGTGTTACATCATCTTGATCCAGCATTCTGTACATAGTCGCCCCTCCCCCCCCAACCCCCTTCGCTCGCTGCCTCTCGCTCTCTCTCTCTCTCGCAATATCGCTCCAATATATATTTTTTCGATTCCCCCCATCAATTAATTTGTTTTGTTGTGGAACTCAATTCGATCTATTGCTTTTCATTAAGTTTAAATTTGGTATTTATTTTTTTGGGGACTCAGTCAGTCAGCTTTTGTTTGGACATTTCGCCCATTTCCTTCAAGATACCATTCAAGATACCCTCCTATATATACTCATCCTCTTAATGGCCATCCTCCATTTCAGCAAACATTCCTAGGCGCCACCGAACTGGACGATGAGTTAATCAAGCAACTGCCAAAGGAGGTTCTGCTGCGTGTCTTCTCCTATCTGGATGTGGTCTCGCTATGCCGCTGCGCACAGGTAAATGAACTCCTCCTCCACTCCATGGGCGGCACGAGGATTTCGGGTCGAGACAACTAATGAATTTTTCATGCTGCAGGTATGCAAATATTGGAACGTGCTGGCCCTCGACGGTTCCAGCTGGCAGAAAATCAATCTATTCGACTTTCAACGTGATATCGAGGTGAGTCTTGACGGGAACTTTAATGGAAAGCATCCCCAACATTAATTGAATCTTCTTACAGGGTCCAGTGATTGAGAATATATCGCTGCGATGTCGCGGCTTTCTCAAATCACTGTCGCTGCGTGGTTGTCAATCGGTGGGAGATCAGTCCGTGAGGTTAATATACTACAATTTACCTAATATAATATAACTATATAATACCATGTATTTGTTATAGAACTCTAGCGAATCACTGCCACAATATCGAACACTTGGATCTGTCAGAATGCAAGAAGATAACCGATATATCAACCCAGTCCATCAGCAGGTATTGCTCCAAATTAACGGCCATTAATTTGGACTCGTGCTCCAATATAACCGACAACAGTCTAAAGTATCTGTCCGATGGCTGCCCAGTATGTTCCATCCACTTATTTAAATATTTCCAAATACTATATATAGTTTTCTTTTGTTGTGTAGAACCTCATGGAGATCAATGTGTCGTGGTGTCATCTCATCTCCGAGAATGGCGTAGAGGCGCTGGCTCGCGGCTGCGTCAAGCTGCGAAAGTTCAGCAGCAAAGGTTGTAAACAAATAAACGACAATGCCATAATGTGCCTGGCCAAATACTGTCCCGATCTAATGGTGCTAAATCTCCACAGCTGTGAGGTAATAATTTATATAATTTTAATTAAAAAATAGTCTCAAGTATATACTCCAATTAGACCATAACCGATTCATCGATCCGCCAACTAGCGGCCAATTGTTCCAAGCTACAAAAGCTATGCGTGTCCAAGTGCGCGGATCTCACCGATCTCTCGCTAATGGCCCTCTCGCAGCACAATCACCTGCTGAACACCCTTGAGGTATCCGGCTGCCGCAACTTTACCGACATCGGTTTCCAGGCGCTGGGCCGCAACTGCAAGTATCTGGAACGCATGGATCTGGAGGAGTGCAGCCAAATAACAGACCTCACACTGGCTCATCTTGCCACCGGTTGTCCCAGTCTAGAGAAATTGGTAGGACTATTACTTCCAGTGAATAAAGCTTCTTACTAACACTCCTCTCCAACTAGACCCTTTCGCATTGTGAACTAATCACGGATGATGGGATACGACACCTCACCACTGGCAGTTGCGCCCCGGAGATTCTATCTGTGCTGGAACTGGACAACTGCCCTCTGATCACAGACCGAACGCTGGAGCATCTGGTGTCTTGCCACAACTTGCAGCGCATTGAATTATTCGACTGTCAGCTTATAAGCCGAGCCGCCATAATTAAGCTGAAGGTGACTAGCTGATAGATATCATTTCAATAGCGATTTATTAATACATTTTTGTGGGTAGACCCATCTACCAAATATCAAGGTGCATGCCTATTTCGCGCCAGGAACCCCGCCGGCGGTAACCAGTGGACACCGACCACGGTACTGCCGCTGCTGTGAGATTCTCTGAGATTCGGCCATCGGCTTTGCCAGGAAGATAATGCGCAAAACCGCCACGGACTGATGCTGGCCGGTGTGCATCGTCATGTTCGCCACGGTGTTCAGTTTGACCCTCATCTCGATGATCTGCATGTACTTGCTGGGGCTGCTTGACGCGGCGATGAGCACATAGCCATCAGATCTGGAATAGCAGCAGCGGCTATAACGAAACCTAACCATAGTTTTAGTTTGGATCGAGTTTTAAAAACTCGAAAACCGAAAACCAGCATCAAATTGTGATTATTTTATTTAATATGCTACTTTAACTAGACCCTGATTTGTGAAAACCGTATTAGTCCCCCACATGCTCTGTGTTTTGTTATTAACTGCAAGCCCGAAGAATTGCTATCTTATATAGCCCCCTGTATATATATATATATTGTATATGTATTTATGTATGTAGACGTGCACCCCATCCATACCCCCCCATCGGCAGCTTCAGGTGGCTCCGCTAAGTGTTCTGTGTCTAGCCTAGAATCTGCAATTATAACTACATTTTGAAATTCATCTGGAGTAGGCTTGAATTTTTATGGTAACCTTGAACAAAACAAGAAGAAGAAACCTGGAAGTTGTTAAAAATTCCGAAACATGTCGATAGAACCACAAAGCGTTCAAAATAGCACACACACCACACACACACACAACACACATGACACTAATTTTGATAAAGTCTAGTTCCCCCAGCTAGGTCTGTTCAGCAATTAGAGTTATCTATGTATAGCCATGTATAGTACACAACGAACAAACGAACTCATACACTACAGTTACTTGAAAAAATATCAAAAAAAAAACCATAAAAATAATTTAAAAAATTATATTTACACTCCCGGATACAGATATAACTTTATAGTCTAAATGGAGAAAATCCTTAAACGGGTACAAAGCTTAAGGGCAGGACAGTTAGCCTTTCGAATTAGCTCACAGCTTGGACCACCTCAACTAAATAGAATATACTACTATATACTATATATGATGTAAGATAGCTTGGACTTTTGATTTCCAAAAACTGAAAGGTTTCCCCCTCCTCTGGCAGAACCACATATAGTACTCTATATAACCACAATCCTCGAGAGATCGAGTCAAAACTCCAGTTGTGAGCTGAGGGGAAAGGGTGACCGAAAGAAAAAGCGCTGGCGTGACAATAACAGGCCACTAATCCGTTTAACCCTTGAACACACACACAGAAATGATTAACTTAACCCTTTCCGTACCGTACCCCGCACAGAACATACAAAACCACACAGATAAGCACAATAAACGCAAAACGATACCAGATGAGATATTTTCCTGATTCATTTTATTCTCTAAAGTTAAGCTAAGCAAATGGTGTCATACAAACATATATCTACCATATATTTTCCTAGAAAACATCATCAGAAAACAATGAAAGTCATATTTACAAAAAAGAAAAACCAGAAAATGAAAAAGCGATTAAATCAGAGTTGTAAGTACGTATTTTAAACGGATCTTTCTCTGTCTCTTGTAGTGTGTTTCAGCTATATTTTAAAATGTTTGAAAAGAATCAACTAAATCACAACTGATATGTATTAATTAGAGTTAGTGTTCAAGAACCGGAAAAAGAAAAGAAAATTTGCCCTAAAGTGCATCAAATTTGTTCCGTACCACACAAACACACACAACAAAAAAATGAAATGTTTTTGGTTCAATAAAATTTACATTTAAACAAAATGAAATAGTTCTTATATACACCTATATATATATATAAATATATGTACTATGTAAAGGCTTTACAATGCAGACTTATATTTACATGATGTACGTACGTGTGTGTAGTTTTGCAAAGAAAACATGCAACTTTATCGGATAAAAAAAAAACACTTGAACTTTAACAAGAATTAATCTGAAGAAAACCCAGATATATATGACATTTTAAACTGAGAAACGTTTAACTAAATAATATTTTAAATATCAAAATGTGTTTTTTTTAGAAGCTGGGATGGTATAGAGACTTTAAAAATTCAAAAACTTAAAGATATTCAAATATCCTACAAAAGTAACGACTTTTTGCGTCTTTCCCGCCTTGGTATTTTCATCTGGCCGCAATACGTTCACACTGGCGAAATCCACAGCTGACTGTCAGTCTGGTCAGTCTCGCCCCACACAGTTGTTTTTGTTGGTGAAAAAAAATAAACAATAATTTCAGAGGCCCTTGGTGCGCGTATAAAAAGTGGAAATTATGCAAATCTCGACAGCGAAAACGCAAAGCGATGGCAATGCAAGTGTAGGCGCGGCTTTTCCGCATTTCCCAGCCCTCGAGGGACCGCAGTGCACCTGTGCTGGCATTTCCAGTCGTTTTTTCGCTGCAATGGCTGCCAACCAACAGCCGAGAACGATCAATTCCGATAAGTAGAAAGTAGAAAGGATAAAGATAGATGAAGAGCTGAGAGCGATTAGTCCGAGAGAACGCGGTTCGGTGCGTGGGTGTTGGCGAAAATCGAATATCAACCAAAAAAAGAACCATTTTCCTCCCGATGACCAGAAGAAATCGTAAGAAAATCGGCGACTAGTTGAAAAGAGCGAATAAGGCAACGAGAAGTGGCCTTCCCCTGGGTTATATAAATTATATATTACATCTGTGCAATACCAAAAAAGAAATGCAGGAATAGGCAAACAAAAATAAAAATCAATGTGTGCTATAGACGCAAAAGCCACGAAGGAAAAGCAGCAGCAGTACCAGCAGCAGCTCAGCTGAGAAAGTGCGTGTGTGTGTGTGTGTTGGTGTTTGTGGTTGTGTTCGTGTAGGAGGCAGCAACAGCAACAGCAGCAGCGGAAAGCAAGTGAAATCAATAATTTGCAGCTAAAATAAACTGCAACAATGTCCAGGTATCCAGGTATCTAATTGCGTCAACAAATTAGTGCTGCACTGGGCTTGTGAAAACCTGTGCCTTTTGGTTTATTATTATTTTTTTTGGACACCGATCTTCGGCGAGAAAGAAGAAAAGGTAAGTCGTCGCCATTTTTATTGCATTCTCTCTACTCTACCCAGTGCCCGAAAGATATATCCAAAAACACAGTAAATTGCCATTAATTGCTTTAATATTTCGTCAGACGTCGGGCTTTTTGTTAGAATATTGCGTTTGAAACCGCACTTGAGACTCGAAATGCGGGGGAATTATGTAAACAAAGCAGACAAAGTGATACATTATATACCCAAAAGATGTACATGTGTGTGTGTGTGTGTGTCTCTTCATAAATATGATTTCAATTCACGTTCTGTTGCTTTCGTTTCAATCTTTATTTGTTAGTCTCTCTGCTTACATCCCCACCGCCCCCATTCTCCCAATCAGCTGAGAGAGAGAGAGAGAGAACACGGACAAAGCAACTGTTAGCATCGACTTTGCTGTATCCTTGAATTCCGCTCATTCTATTTCCTTTTTCCTTTTTTGCGCAGAAGACCAGACAACAAAGGAATGGCAATAAAACGGTTGACAGTCTCCAACTACAAAGCTCATCCATATTGATTTAATATTTGCATTGATTTGTTTAAATGATGGCCAAGCAGACTGCTTACATAAGCAATTAGCTGCTGGCTGGCTGCTTGCTGCCAAATGCGCAGTACATGCAACAGAGTCTTGGCCAACAACACTGCCGAAAGGTCAACGATGTGGCAATAATAGGCGGAGTGCCTGCTTCCTGAAAATATACATTTTTCTAACTACCTAGATGGTTTTTTGACTTTCTTCTTATTGGAATTGGTTAGGAAGCAGTTAGAAGTTGGCTAAGATGTGTAGAGGGCTCTGAAGTATAAAGGGTATCATTAAAAAAAATGTAGAAAAATTAAGGTTTGGATGGTAGACTAATAGGGAGTTAATTTACAAATCTTTTAAGACATTTCTCTCAAGGATTGGTCTGAAAATGGCCAAGATATTATCATTATATGAAGCCTTATTGGAACCTCCCAGATTTCCAAAGAAAAGGATATAGAATTAGCTGTCTTAAGCTCTATAAAAAACCCCTTTTAAAAACATTTCCCTAAAAAAGAACATTATTTCCCCTGTTTCAATGAATAATTATCCACAATGCATCACCCCCTCAAACCCTCACACAACCCCTCCCAACGAAGGACCAAGTCAAAACCCCCATAAATGCGTGACGACTTATGGGTTTTTTTTTTTATTATTTTTTCAGGCTGTTATTGAAGCCATAAGTAAAGTAGTCACTCTATACCAGCACCCCGATATGATTTGCTTGTACTTTGGCCGATAAGAAAAGAAAATAAACCACACAGGCTTATCTCGAAGTCACCGAAACCTAAATTTGAAGTTTGTTTTTGTTTTTGTCGGTTTTGTAACTACTTTCAATATGGTTTTTATGGCATGCGGTTATGCGGGGGCCTGAGATAACCCACTCCCTAAAAAAAAAGAAACGAAACCGAGAGACCTTATCAGAGTCTGCCTTCTTAGGGGCGACTATCTCAGATTCCGATTCCATTTCCTTGGGGTTATTGCATTACGATTCAGGGTCGTATATCAAAATTTTCACCCTGATAACAAGTGAATGACCAAAAGAATGACCAGCTAGCTGGTTTCTTCAATGAGTTTTAATGAACATATCCTGGTGGTTACTCCCAATGGGGTTATTCACTTTAAGACACACTTTAAAAAGTTTATAACTATATTAATAATTATTTAGGGAATAAAATATAATCTTAAAAGTGAGAATTCTTAGCCAGACCTCCCCTACTACGCATTTAGTATAAAATATTCAAAAAAAAAAAAAAAAAACTCAATCTAAGAGAATCGCTGATTTTTGGCACTCAAGTGTGGGGATGGGATGAGTGAGAGTGAGAGCGATGGGAAGAGAAAAACAAATGGACTCTCAGTGACCCCAACGCTTCAGCCGTTGACTTTTTCCGTTCCCGTTCCGTTGTTGTTTTTGTTGTTCCGTGCTCGGTGCTCCTTCTTCCCCCAATTTCTCCCCCGTGCTGGCTTCTTTTGCGTTTTATTTTACGTTATTTTGTTTGTTGGGTTGAATGACTTTGGGACAACAACGTGTGAGAGCCAGAAAGTAACAAAAAATAAAAGAAAATTAACAACAAAAAGAGCGTAACTTGCGAGGCTCTCAACAACAACAAAAGAGAGATGTAAAGCCAATGAACCCACCAAAAAAACTCAGCACAGCTGATGGGTTCAACGATGGCGAAAAATTAGAGAAGGTAAGAGATTGGGGGGGTGGTCTGGACTCTTGTCTGGCAACCCTCTAGTTTCCCTCTTTCTTCAGCACTCTTTCCCTCTACGGGGGGATTTTTTGGATTCTTTTGTTTAGAACTGGATATACCCCCGGATACAGCATAGGGGTTGAAAAGGAAAGCAGTCGTGGGGAGTGAGGGAGTGAGGAGGGGAAGGCATGCCAAAAATGTTGTTTTGATTGATATTCGTGCAATGGCTTTGATGGAATTTGCATTTCTTTTGCCTTTTCGCCACTCTATCGTTTCAATCGGAGGGCAAAAAAAAAAAATAAAAACAAATTCTCTAACTCGCCAACAAAGAGCTTTGTTTGGATTTTGTTTTTGTTTTTTTTGATTTTACAAAAATAAACATCATGTAGTCATCGCATGATTTGGGAATTGATGGAATGAGATGTTAAAGAGTTTCCATTTTCGAAATTATATCCCTAAAGATATTTGATTGCGTCATAGCACGTCTACATATTTCTATATGATTCAAAGATCGTGATTTATTTGAATAATTATGATGAAATTAAATAAAACAGAGTTGGAATATCCTTATCGCGACGTGCCAATTAAGTACAACTAACCCTCGTTGATAGCAAAACTTCAGTTATTATTCAAAATGTCTGCTCGCTATCGGTGTCAGATTATCAAAGTGCCAGGTCATCGGCCATCTATATATTAGCGGGACCACCCATCCGGCCCCCCAATCTCAACCCCCTATATATTCGCTCTTCAAAATGGCTGCCGCCTCAGCACTCAACCTTAAACTTTGCGGAGGTACGGGGCACCACCTCCTTTCTTCTCACCTGCCGACTCAATCACAGTCACGTGTGGGCCAAAATTACAAGAACAGCTGTGTTTCGGGCCGGAAAACACGAAAAACCCGACAGAAATGATGGCCAGACACAAAGAGCTGAAAGAAACGAGGAAATAGACAATGCCAAGGGTTGTACAGTAAAGACTAGATATGGTAAACAAGAGAAATGGATGTTTGAAGAACCTTTTCTCGATAGATACCTCTTAGAAAAGTCTATTATAACAGCAACCTCTATTTATCAGTAGATGTAACCCTAGTGCTAATATTTACTGTACAATCCACACAGGTTACATGCGGGCTGCCCTACGCTCCCTTCTTGTGTAAGAGTTCGTCTGCCTTGAGTATATTTGCTTGCCAATCAATCCAAGGTTTCCACCGCTATATAGCAGAAGGTTTCATAAAAAAAAAAAAAAATACTTCAAACTTTATTAAACAACTGTTTTCTGTTTGATTTCACAATAGTCTGCTATAGAGTGTTCTATAATAATAATAACAAGTCGTGATAGTCTACAAAGTATTCAGTCTGCTAGTTTTGTTTTCCTTTTTTTGCTTTCATAAGGTTTTTAACCGTTTTATTATCAAAACAGCTGATCGACGCAATTAAGAGAAGCAGTTTCATGTACATGTCTGTGCGTGTTTGTATGAGTGTTGAAAACAACTGCGCACATAAAAACAGGCAAAGGGGGGAGAGAGAGAGAGAGTCTAGCCCTTAATACTCACTCAATATGATTTGAGTTTAAAGCTGGTTTAGCGGAAAAATTAAGCCAAACAATTAAGTTAAAAACTATTCCACACACAGATACAAAGATATACGAATTCCATCTTAATTAAAAATTAACCAAAGAAAGCCAGACAGACGTCAATCAGTGGATCTTTTCAAGCTTGAACGAACTTGCCAGCCAGCCCAAGGGCTTTTGTGACCTCATCTCTTCTTCCAAAACTTATCCATGTTTTTGGTGGAAATTTTTGGGTTTTTTTCCCCCTGAGCGTGACTTTCCATTACAAAAAAAAAAGAAAAAAGGCAATACCTACCTGTTACTTGAAGATAAAAAAAGGGTAACAACAGTAAATATTTGTCTCTAAATTGTTATCTTTAGGGAGATATTTACGAGGTACATTATTTTTGAAGTTATTATTAGAAAAGTTCATCCAAGTAGGGAATATAATGATCCAGTTTTTAATGCTCTTTCGGCGGAAGAGCAGTTTCTTGTTTTCCTGTTTGGCCAGGAGCGGTAAGAAGACCCCCAGTCCTCCTCAGACGCCATCCCACAGACTTGGGTCTTGGTCTTGGGTTTTTATTTTTTCGTATTGGTCATGGATGGCATTTCTTTGTCTGGATGGCTGACTGGCTGGCTGACTGGCTGGCTGGATGGCTGGTTCTTTGTTGTCGGGCCGGGTATTCCGTGTATCCTTTGGCTTCAGAACCTGGGTTACTCGAGTTCAGATCGTTCTGCAGACGTCTGCTGTTTGCTGTCTGTAGCCTGAGAGAAGCTTTATTTTTTAAAAAGTAATAGTATTTTCTTGAAACAATTCCTCTTGAAATTAAATATCAAGTACAAATCATATCAGCACCAAGCTCCAAAGTAAATAGATTATATAGTATATAGTACACCCCCTGATAGAGTGTGGGTGCTAATGCTGATAAGATTCGCATCGTAGGAGAGCCAAACAAGGGACAAATAGAGAGAAAGAGAGAGAGACTCTGAAAGAAACAGCAAGAAAACATAAATTCAGAATGTTGTCTGGGTCGCTGATTTTTGTTTTTTATTTTGGGGCTTTTATATTTTGCATTAAAAGCGCATGCGTTGTTGTTGTTGGTCTTGCTTTTGGCTGCTCCTCCTCTTCTTCTTTTAAGAAATCTGCCAACAAGTACCCCAAGCTGATTCTTGTGTATATATACTATATGTATATATATCTCGCTATATACGAACCGATACCCGAACAGCTATTTTCGTACATAACACTCTACAACATGGCATCTCAAACATATGGAAACGGGTTCTCTGTCTTTTATTTATTTTGTTTTTTTGTTGTATCCGTATATCTGTATCTGTATCTTTGTATTTGTATCTGCGCTCTGTATTTCGTATCTGTGTATCCGTTCGCTGTGTGTGTGTGTGTGTGTGTAGCCCCTCTTTTGTTATTGAATCGCTATCGCAACAACAATTGCTCTTGCCCCACACTCTATATAGTTCGTTCGTATTTTTTACCTATTTACTTGTCTCTTATCATATGTGTCTGCTGTTTATTTGCCCAGCCTATGCACTGGTATTGGTGTGGGCTTCCATATGATTTTTGTGTACATTTTTCGTTTGGCTTCTCCTGCGCAACAGCAACATGTCCCCAGCAACATGTTGCTAAGACGAACAAAAAAACCACAAAAACTAGCCAAATGTACGACGTAGTTTTCCCCCCTCTATATACTATATATATATTGTGTATATAGATACACACACATACACAGATACAGATACAGGCTGACTGGCTGGCTGGCTGACTGGCAGCTCAGCTGTTTTAGAAAGTTGCCGTCAGCAGAAGCGAACACTTCGCTCCGCGCATTTCAATTCATTTCATTGCGAGTTGTCGAGCCAAAAAGTTCGAGTTCCGAGTTGAAGAGTATCTGCAGAATTGTTTTTTTTCGCAGTGTGCATGTGTGTATGTGTGTGGAGTGCAGCCAGTCCAAAAAATAAAAAAAATAAACCCTAAAAAAAGAATCTAAGCAAACAAGTTTGTTTCGCCAATAATCATCGTTGTGTTACCTACCTACCTGCCTGATTCCGTTTCGTGCGACTGAACAGCCGTGAAATCAGTTGGAGAGACCTCTCCAATATAAATACCATCGCAATATATAGTAATATTAATAATAAGATTTGCTTTTGGGTCTCCAACAACGCGCGCGCTCTTCAAAAGCGACTGAGAATTCAAATGCAGCTAAGCGAACGCTCCAAAATATGTGGTGGCCAGTGCCATTATCCCTATCTGAGGACTAGAAGCCAAAAAACCACTAAAATCCCCCACCAGAGAAGCCAAAAACGACAAAAATCCATCACAGTGAATACCTAAAAGAAATGAACAATATTCGTGTTTGGTGTTAGAAAGCAAAATATTTTGAATTAGAAGCTCAACAAAAATAATAAAAAATAAAAGAAAAAACAAAAAAGGTTAGTGCTAAAATATAAAAATAATTGTATGGCTTTAAGTGACGTTGGCTTTTGGCCACTCAGCTGGACAGCTGCGCATGTGTTGGTGACGTAATGCCACAAATACAGCGCAATTGGCCAAAGCTCTGCCCCCAACCACCCACACTAGAAACGATTGAAGATCGCCCCAGCTACAGTAGAGCTTCGAAAGCTTCAACACCAACCTTTAAGAAGCTTAGTGAAAGAGTATATCTAGGCTTTTGGGTTACATAAAGTATAGTTTAGATGGCAAGTGCTACTGTTGTATGTGGATTAGAGTACATGTGTAGGTGAAAACACTTTGGGAGACTATGCGACGCCCCCTTGAGCGTAACACACACTTACACACACACACACTCACTTGAAGCTCCATAAATTACTGTAAAGGCAATTCAAATCATGCTCTCTGCCCCTTGGCCACCTTCTTTCGCCCCCTATTTCTCTGGCTCTCTGTCTCCACTCCCTTAAATGGTTGATGTGTGTGTATGAGTGTGTGTGTGTATTGGTGAAGTCAGGAGGAAAACTACTCGAGTTGTTTTTTTTTTTTTTTTTTTTTTGTTAATATAATTGACACACATTTTCTAATTGTGGCATTGCATTTGCTTTGCATGGGGGCATTTGTGTCATTTATCAGCTTTGCTTTTGAACTCTCCACCACTCTATCTGTCTATCTCTTTCTGGTTGTAACCTGTTATTCTTTATCAGCTGTGCGGGGGAGAAGAAGAAGAGGCAGCCTACCATTAGCCCATGTGCTTGATGTAACTAAAAAAAAATAGTATAGTACACCTCGTAACGATAAGAATTAGTTGCGCAACATTTGAAACCACCCACGTGTAGAATGGGTTAAAAGATCAAATCAAGAATAAGAGATAGATTAAGAACAAGAGGCAACTTTCGCTATCTGTGAACCCCCCCCTTCTCTTCTTATATAAGTGAAAGTGTTTTGTTTTTTTTGGCAGATAAGCAAAACAAGCCAAAAATAAAAATAAATAAAAACAAACCAACAGCTGTTCTTAAAAAAAATGAACTTTTGATTAAAGTTTTTCCTTACTTAACACGTACGACCAATTTATATCAATTCAAAAAAGAGAAAAAAAAATAAATAAATAAATAAAATGTAACGCACATGCACACTAACACTACCAACACTCTTGCACACTCGTCATGTGTAATTTTATACGTGCGCAGTTGGAAATGTAAATGAAGAAGAGGAAGAGAAGAATGGGCAGAGGGGTGGTGGGGAGAGGCAGAAAACTGGAGGAGTTGGCCAAGTAAAGTACTCTGTCACAGCAAAGTTGAAGCAGACTCGGGTACGGAACAGAAGGCATTAACACTTCTTGCGGTCATTTGCTTTTCACTCTTTTGCGTGAAAAATAAAAACAAAAAAAAAAGAGAGCAAAAGTGCGTGCTATTGGCAAGACGGGGCATATTTTGGCTAAAAATAAAAACGTGCCATCGTCTCACACACACACACACGCACATCAAGTCCTGTTCTGACTTCCCCCACTCCAGGTGTCTCCCTCTCACTTACACCACTCCAGCAGATCTGGTCCCAACTTCGTGAGTGCGAGGGAGATGCGCTCACGTGCTCACGTTACGGCCACGTACACACATACACACACACTGGCACACGTGGCCCCTACAGGCAAAAGAGGAAGAGGCAGACAAAGAGCCCCATAACTGGACTGTGTTTGTTTACATTTTTGCTTTGCATTTTTGTTTTTGCATTTTTGCTCGCCTTGCTTTTGTTTTTATTTACTGCGCACATGTGAGCTGGGGGCCTATGTGGGTGACAGTGGAGGGCGAGAAGAGAGAGTGAGCGAGCAGGGGAGAGCTTTACATTTTAACTTTATTTGTGTTGTGTAAGAGAAACAGGGTGCCTCTTAGTCCATACAATAAATTCTATATATCAGACCAATTAGGTCTCAACTTCACCTTGCTAAATTCTAAATTGCAGCTAATAATTGCTATTAATTGTGAAGAATTTCCTTTTCTAATCACCGTATTCCCCTCTCTCTCTTCCCATTGCAGCAAACGGAATAAATAATGGAATTTTAACAGCGTTTTAAAAGGTAAGTGAAGGGTGATATCTCATATCTTGCGGCCTTGAAGTGTTTCCCAAACTTTTAAATAATGATTTTTTTCTAATGTACATATGTCTTATCTGATGGCCATGTTCCGATAAATTCCAACGAATAGTAGATTCTCTGATTTTCTCAAAGAGAGGAAAATGTGCCAGGGAAGAGGGTAAAGAGGGGGATACGATGTAACCCACTGAAGGTGCGGCCCCCTCGGAAACAAAGAGAAGCTCGCTCAGCTGTGAAGGTTTATGATTGGGAGGGTCACCACCACCACACTCACGTGAAAAAGCACACACACACACAATCATAATGGATTTTTTGTGATTCCAATAGCTAGGTCAATCAACAAAGCTATTTTCTCACCTATTTCTTAAAAAATATATGTTTTTTTTAATAAAAATTTCTATTATTACAAATCGCCTTTACATTTCCGTAAAAATGACACATCTTCCAGGGTAATTATACTTCAATTATGACGCATTCGTCGGATGACTAAAGTAAACCAGTAAAAAAAAAAACCAAACAAACAAAGACAAGTCGGACTTTCGAACTGCACTCACGTGTTAAATTATTTTTGGATTTCATAACCCTCCAAAAGGGGGGGACAGAAGGAAAAGGAAACCCAAAACAAAGGAAAGCCACTAACGGAACTTGTTTTTCAAAGTTGCAACATAACCATTTTCCACTCTCCTCCGTTTGCTGTTGTTTTTCTTATCTGCCCCCCCCCTCGAACGGGTTTTCCGCCACAGAGCGCCGCCTGGCGGCAGGTTTCGTGGCATGCCTTTCACCGCTTGGCGCGCCTTTTGAATTCGATTTGAATTTCCGCTGGGCACTCGCAAATGAAATATGAAATAAAAATAATAAAATAAATAATTCAAGCACACACGGATCGTATCTCTCAGATACAAACCAATACAACTGCACACAGAGTGCAGTGCATTGCAAAATCAAAAAGCATGCCAAGGACGGTGGCCGAGCTAAATGAAATTAGTTCAACAATGCACCCCCCACCACAGCCCCTCCCTGCGTCCCAACCTGTTCAATCGGCTTGCCAAGAAAAGCGCCAAAGTGTGCCAATCAAGGAGGAGGAAGAGGGGGGGAAGAGCCGCTGCAGGCTATGACAAAGTTTTCCGAATCAACTTAATTGCAGTTTTTGCCAGTTCGTGGCTGCCAACTACCAATTTGGCCTTAAAAAGCACTAAAAAGCAAGTGGAAGACTATGGTAATTGGCTCAGATCAGTTGCCAGCAAATGCAGATGAAGGAAAGTTTTTCCGAAAAAAATAAAAAAAATAAAAATCAGTCAGGGAGGGCCATAATGTAATCGAATATTATTAAACTTCAACGTTCCGTTCGCTTGTCCCCATTTTCATACGGGTTTTCCGTTAATGTGTGTGTGTCTGTTAGTTTCGCCTATTGTGGGCCAAGAGTATTATTATGTATGTATGTACACATATATATATATTTTATATAGATGTGCCATAAACAAAACTAAACACTGATGGCAAAAGCAATACAAAAATCAGATGTTTTCTAACACAAACACATACACACTCATCCACAGCGACAGTAATGTGCAAAAATACACAGAGAGCCCAAAATAAAAAGTCTCTCACGCCCCCCTCTTTAAATCTCTCGCTCTCTCTCGTTTTGGGGGTTATATACTTGTGTCTGTCTCGCGCGCTAGTTATATATTGTGTATGCAGGTCAAGAAGAAACGCAAAAACAAAAGCAAAAGTAAAGACAAACATGTTTACATGTTTTTATGGCTCTCTTGTAGTCACACGCTCTCTGGTGCTCTCTTTAGCAACATGTTGCTAGCTCTACAATGCTGCAACAGCTGTTTTCTGTGTACATACATTCGATCCCATGCATGTGCACGTGCATGCAATGGTGTGTGGGGTGGGGACTTAATTTGGTTTTGGTTTTCGACTCAAAAAGCTGCTGTTGCTAAGCGCTATTTTAGACAAAAAAAAAAGTAAGAATTAAGAAGCAAGAAGCAAGAATCGAGAATAATGGCAACAACATAAGAGAATAGAATGATGAAAAATAAGAGGAGTTTCTTTGGATGATGAAATTAATGAATTCTTAGGAGCTTTAATATTATTATTATTAACTTATTATTTTTAAAAATATTATTGATTAATTAGTCCTATTAAGATTAAATAACAATTGGTAGTAACTAATAATCATCCTTAATTTTCACCTCAATGCCAGTCCTAAAGCACCCCAACTATTAGAGTATTTTTGAGCGTTGCAACAAAACGACCTTCAAAGCCTTTCAAAGCTTCACTCAATGACGTCACACCGTTAGCAACATGTTGTTTTCGAGGGGGTGGGTGGGGCTGGCCTAGGCAGAGAGGAGGCTGGCTGAGGTGCAGCGTGCATTGCCAAACGGCTGACATGTTGCTCGTAACTGGGTCTCCGGTTAAGTAACGACCTGGTTTCCAACTCTTGTTTTTTTTTTCCATCGCTCATTAGGGTATGTGTATGTACATATGTATGTATGTATGATGTAAATAAATACATATGTGCATGACGTTTTCAGGCCAAATCGAGGCCGTGTCAGTGTGTCGCAGTTAACAGCAATTGGCCAAGAATTCTACAGGCCAGGCTGGTCTTCAGAACGCGTTGCTTCCGCATCGGAAGGATGAACGAAAAGTAAACCATGTCAGTTATATACCACCTAAACCCAGTACCTAGGCAGGAGGACCTTGGGGTCTCGATTCAAGTTGAGGGTGCCAAAGCTCCATCTAAGCGCCAGCAGAGGCTGCCACTCCATCTGTTGCTGGCCATAAATTATGGATTTTCCAAAACGGGGAAAACCTTCACCTACTTTTTCAAGATTTCTCATTTTTTTTCTGCCATTCTCTCGTTGCAGTACACTTCTGGTAGAGGAAGCAGCTGCAGCAGCGTCAGAAGCTAAGCCAGAGGCATCGGAGGAAGCTCCAGAGCAGATCTAGTGGACCGTTTCCAAAACAACCGAACGAGAGATGATACCCACCAGCATCACCAACTCGCCGCCACCAGCGGGCTTGGGTCAGAATGGAGCTGCTGCCACAGCGACGGGGGGTGCGGCGGGTCTGGGACTGGGAGTGGGAGTGGGAGGAGTGGCTGGTGTGGGCACTAGTTCGAGTGGCATCCAGTCAGCCGGGGCTCAGAACAATTTAAGCTCCATAGTGCTGGGCCTGGCCTCGCTAATCCTTGAGGGACGACCCATCTCCGATGACGAGTATCAGCAGCAGCACGTGGTGGTGGCATCGTCCGGTTCTGGAGGAGGATCCGGCGGGAATAACCTTGCTGGCCGCCTCTCGCCACGTCCCTCCACTTCGCGAGCTGCCATTAACATAACGACGAATCCCTATGGTTCCATGGGAGGATCGGACAGCCGAGCCGGCAGCGGCTCAGCCGGAGGAGCGTCTAGCAGCAGCAGCACCTCGTTGACCCACCAACGCTGGACGCAGAAACTGTGCCAGCTGCGACAAATCTCACCTGCTGCCCAGGCGATGAGTGCCGAGCCCGAACTGGTGGCCCTGGCCATCAATGATCTCAACAAGGATCACGGTGACTACGAGATCGTGAGGAGAGTGATGCTCAACAGAGCGGGGGGAATGGGAGGTGGTGGTGGTGGTGGCGGCACCGGAGGCACCAACAACTCCAGTGCCGCCAGTTCCCCGGGCTCCAATTCGTCGGATAACATTCTGCTCTCCCTACAATCGCTGGCCACCACGTGTTTGAGGGGCGGACCCGCCTTGCCACCGCCTCCGGTTGAAACACGCCCCCTAAATCTGTCCTTCGTGTGGTCGGGATCGGGGGGATCGCCGAGTGGGGCCGTAGTCGGAGCAGCGGGAGCTGTAGCCACCACCACCAGCACCACAACAACGGCCACTGCCAGCAACGGAGCCACTGGCTCCGCATCGAGGCCCAAACACGGGCCGCATTGTGATCAGTTCCTCAGGAAGATGGGTCTGGCCAAGGGCGAGACGCCGTCGGAGCTTGAGGAGCACATCTGTGATATGTCCTACGTTAATATGACCGTAAGTTCATCCTCCATTCTTGAAGATTTATATCCTGAATCCTTTACATCCGCAGTGCAATCGTTGGCGAGCCTATTGTATGAAGATGGAGGCAATCCTGGCCAGGCGCGAACCCGTTTGCATCGAGGTGTACCTGGGTCCAGTCAGCCACAAGCTGCTATTGGAGCAGTGGATCATCAGCGGCAAGGAAAAGTGGGTTACTTGAACTCTCCATTATCCTGAAATATTCTAATACTGGTAATCTTACAGAGTTCCTCCGCCCACGATGACCCTACCCTCACTGTGCAGTGCCATCCGAAGTCAGTTGTACTTCTCCCAGATCGTGGCCTGGTGCGACCTGCTCCGCAAGTGCGATCCCTCGGTGTACGACAGCGGGCGGGTGATCTTCTCCAACTGCGCCAACAATGCCGGCGATCTGGCCACCAGTTACACATCCAGCGGGGGCGGGCCGAGGAGACCTCGTCTCAACATTTTCTACAGGATCAAGCAGCACACGACCACCGGTGGCCAGTTCCAGGAGGATGGCTTCAGCGCCAAGGCCAATGTGCACAACTTTCCCAACGTGAATGTCTCGGAGAACTACAGTATCTCGGTGTGCGTTAGGAGCTTGCCGAGGATCAATGGTGGCCTGCCTCACGTGGAGCCCCTCGTCCCGAGTCCTGCCCCCAGACACAAGCTCTTGGCAGCAGATCCGGCCAGCACACCGACTGGAGGCGGGGGGCTACATGCGGCCACGCCCACTGGCCTGGGAGCGAGGATTTGTGCCGCCACCCCCACGACGTCGGCCAGCGGATCCCACTGTGATAACGGAAAAACGGGAATGGGCCTGGACGAACTGGATGGGGATTCGAGCCTGAGCCACCGGGAGAGGCAGCTGCAGAAATACCGCAAGAGAATGCAGCGCCGGGACAAGAAGCGGGAGAGGAAATCCTCCCCAGACAGGCCACACCACGCAGAGGAGCCCATGGAGGAGGGCGAGGAGTCGCAGTCGTTGACACAGTCGGAGCCGCAATCCCTGGCCTTGACTCTGCAACAGCCGCGGCGCATCGCCATGATCTCCACGGGCACCCAAACGTCCCTCAGCAGCTGCCAGCAGTGCGGGAGCGAGAAGACCCTGCTCTGCCTCAGCTGCACAGGAGGAGTGGGATGTGGCGCTGACAACGGCACGGCCACCAAGGAGAAGCCATCAGCCGGCAAGCTGGAGGAGCTGGATGACGGGGATACGACGGCCTCCGAAATGGAGGAAACATCCAGCTGCAGTCTCAGCAGCGGTGATCTCATCGTGGGCACGCCTCGCAACAAGGCCGAGCTGCTGCTGCAGGCCATCCAGCGCACGCCAAAGAACCGCAGCCGGAAGCCCCAGCATCCGGAGGTGGCCTGCCGCAATTCAGATCTCAACGGGGGCCAGAACAACAACCTGGCGAAGATCACGCCTGCCAGTAGCGGGTGTCAGGTGTGCAAGCGCCAGAAGACCCAACACAACTTCTCGAATGGAAGCAACGGCAGCGGAGCGAAGGAGCAGTCACCCACCAATGAAAGCCGAAGGAGTAATGGCTACGGGAGCATGGAGCAGGAGGCGCAACAGGCATCAGATGCTCAGGTAAGCTCAGGCCCATTATTTCCCACCATCATCTTACAAGAATCATCCACAGAACGCCTCCACCAAGCTGACGCCCAACATAGAGCGCTGCTCGCTGAATCCCTCCGAGCGCTGCACAACACCACCACCGGGAATCGATGACCACATAGTGGTGCAGTTCAAAACGCCGCTGAGCCATGTGCCAGCCAAGCCCCAGCCCGATGCCATGGTGCCCCTGCAGCAGCAGTCTCTGGGCAGATCATCGCCCAAACCCAGCCAGCTGAGGCTGAACTGTGGAAACGGGCTGGCGGACAGCGAGACGCCGCCCCAGAGCATATCGCCTCTGATGCGGAAGGCCCTGCCCAAGGTCAACCTCACTACCATCTTCTGCAGCTCGGCGCCCATTGCCATCGGGGCGCCTGCCTTCAGCTTTGATCCAGCTTCCCTGAGTCATGCCCACTCTCAGCTGCTGGCCCCGGATGTGGGTGCCACACCGCCAGTGCAGAAGTCCTTCTCGGCGCCCACTTTGCCGAACTCGGCATCGCTCTCGGTCTCGCCCAGATTCGCCAAACAGGCGCTGGCTGCCCACAAGCGGCGGTCCCGCCACCTAAGCGATCGCAGCGACCGGAGCTCCCTGGGCTCCGACGAGCAACTGTCCGACGAGGATCTGGAGTCGGGTATGTGCAGTCCGGCGGGTGGGTCGCCCTTGAAGAGTCGCGCCCGCTTGGCTGCCCACTTTGGAGGGCGTCCGCTTCTGGGAAATCTCGAGGAGTCGCTGCTTCAGCGCCGCCTTATGCCCAAAATCGAGGTGATGGGCTTCAAGCTGCAGCTGGGCGCCTCTGGAGGATTCTGTCCCACCCAGCTGACGATCCCAGCTGTCTCCTACTTCTATGAGCTGCACGGCGAGACGCTAAGCACTCCCTACCTGGTGAGTTTGTGGTTTCTCTCATGAGATGGAATCAGAACTAACTATTTAACTATCAGTGCGAGATTCGTCTGCCGCGGAAGGGATACTCGGTGCCGAGGACTGGAACGGTGCAGGCCACGCTGCTGAATCCTATGGGAACGGTGGTGCGGATGTTTGTGATACCCTATGATATGCGGGACATGCCGCCGCTACACCGCACCTTCATCCGGCAGCGGATACTGGCCGAGGAGGTGGGCCAGGAGCAGGATTCTGGTCCGCAAGTGCCGCGAAGTCCAACCGCCCACAGCACCACCAGCAAACTGGGGCACTTCATCTCTTCCGAGCAAATGAAGCGACTGCGCTACTCCATTCACCTAAGGTATGGATTCTACAAGATTCATTTTTAACGAAGGATCCTGTAACTAATCCCTTGTTTTGGCAGGTTCCAGACATCGCGCTCTGGACGGCTGTCCTTGCACACCGACATCCGTCTGCTGATCTCACGGCGCACCGACTGCGACACTGCGGCCGCCCATGCCAAGGGTGTGCTGGAGGCGCCCAATGAACTGGTCACCGACACCCTGATGCCTGGCGAGCCGCGCTACAGTGCCCGGCAGGAGAGCGCCAGCAGAATTTAGTAGCTACTGCAAGCCCTGGGCGGCACCTTCGAGCTACTCCGTCGCCTGTGCCAGCAGCTGCAGGAGAAGTGGCAGCAAGTGCAGTGGCGGGAGCAGCAGGATCTCTGGCAGTGGCCCAGATACCAGTTGTAGGCGGAGCATAGGAGGAGGGCAGGAGGCGAAAGAGACTCCAACTGCTTTACTAGCTTATTGTTTAATCTATCCCTAAGCTTAATTTCTTGGTCGGATTTATTTTTTTGTGAAATTGCGCCTTGCAGGAGGTTTCCATTCGTTTAGTTTTGAAACATTGCAATGTAAAAATGTTGATGATCCAGTTATGAATACGAAAGCAATCGAATTAGTCAGACGGCAGTCGGTCAGACGCGAGAATCAAATCTAATTGTATATCCTTTGCAACAGCAACAGCAACAGCAAACGAAACTATCTGTATCTTTGGGGGTCCACTTTTAAAAGAAAGCATCAGAAGAAGATGAAGGCAAAGTTAGCAATACTACTATGAGTAAGCTATGGCAAGTGTGAGGAGTGTTAACGCAAGGGAGTACTACATACCTTAAATAGGAATGCATACAGATATCACATACAATATATATATATATATATATATATATATAATAATATATATTATATTTATGTACCGTAATGTATAATCGTCGTCGTGTAGCGTCAACAATTTTAAATGCAATTTTGTGGGGCAAAAGTAGATACGTGGGTGGGGAATGATACAAGTTGGATGCGCTCATATCGATCGTTGTTGTTAGTGGTAGCGTGTTTTAGTCGCAGAAAAGAATTTGTGAAACCTATTGGGTTGAGTGAAAGTTTAAATTCGAGTCAACATTATTTTTTTTTTTTTTGGGTTTTTTTGAGTTGGCGATTCCGTTTTGAGAGTGTCTATTAAGCGTGCCTGTGATACGATATGAGCTGCATATATACGGGGGGGTCTATTTTAATAGAGTTTTTTTTTAGTTAAATACAATTGACAATTACATTTTTTTGTATAACCATGTTTATAACGTTTTTGGGTTATTTTCTTCTCACTAAAAATTAGTTTCTTTTCAATTGATACCTGACTATAACTACTTTATAAACGTACTCCTGCTATTAACAAATTTTCAATCTAGGTGGTATGTAAAAAGATTACAGTAAAAACAAAAAGAGTATATAAAAAATAGAAAAAAACAAAAAAAAAAAAGCGAAACAATAAAGCCAATTGACGCCATCGATATTGGGAATCATAAAATTTACTTCGTTCAATTTGTTTTAAGTAGAGAGCTTAATGTGCGCTGTCAATAGCAACTACATATATGTCTAACAATAACACCAATATACACAATTCAATAAATATATTTTGTGTTTTTTTTATTTATCATGGAGGGAAATAATTCAAAAAAGTAAAGTTCAAAATAACGATTTCGATTTTAAAGATTTGAGTACTTTGAGTTGGCAACACCAATGACTGTGCTGCCAACTGTTTTAACTTAACTCACTTTCTGGCTAAAATGTTGTATAAACTGAAAGCAAAATGATGATTAATATTATTTAATTTATTTTTCACTAAGAAAATATCAAAAACAAAAGAGTGTACTGATTAAATTCAATTTTCTATTTATTTTTTATATTTTAAAAACTAGTGTGCCCAAAATCGCATACCTTGCCTAAGCCAAGACACGAACCAGTCTAATTTGACCCAGCTTTTGGCGTTTTCCAACACTGCTTCGTTTAAAGACCAATTGATAAGACCGTATATTTAAAATGGCGTCAGTGTTGGAAAAAGAGAGGTATTTGTTTCTTCCAACAAACTAAAAAACCAAAATAGAATAAAAACATAGACATCTAATTTTGGGAGGTGAAAAGTGCGAATTAAAACCGTCAGAAAGTGGTGCCGCGCATGTGCAATTGACCCCGTACAAACACTGACATGTCGTTGGCAAGAGTGCAACAAGCGAGAGCAACAAGTGATTCGTGAAAAGCAATTTGTGGCAATTTAAAATGTCTAAACCAGCAGTTAATCCGCCTGGCTGCAGCTAAACTAGAAGAATCCGTCCCAGAGTACCACTAATAGGCGTCGGAATAGGAGCTGCGCCCCTAAAAAACGCAGCGACTCCAGTGTGCACACGTAACCTTGTGTGCGCGTAGCACGGAAGCTGTTGCTGCTACTTTGGCTTGGTTGAATCGGAATACTTGTTGTTCGCAGGTATGTGGCTGTTGATGCCACTGCTTTGCCACTGATTGCCCACCTAAACGGAGTTTTACTTGCTGCAGAGTCGATTGCGTGCTTTTCCACGGACGTCGGGTACGTTTCCGAAGATGGATACCAATTCCGGAGCTGGATCTGGATCTGGGGTCGGGCCGGATGGTGATGGCGAAGCGGGTCCCTGCTCCACGGTGGCGACGCACAACGAACAGCCGCAAACGAAACGCCAAAAGATCGAAAAGCAGTTCAAGAATGATCGGAGCTGCAAGGCGCTTACCCCCTCCCCGCCCGACATTCTCGACGGGAGGAGGGGGGAGGCGGTCTTGGACAACAACAACAGCAACAACAAGAACCATCTCTGCTCATCGCTCTCCTCGTCGTCGACGCACTCGCTGTCCACGCCCAGCAGTACCAACAACTCCCCCACCACGACGCCGTGCAGCTCACGAGCCGCGTCCTACGCCCAGTTGTTGGGTCATAACACCTTGCCACAAAACGGGGAAGCAGAAGCGCATGCTGCCGACCCCGAGTCCACCAAGGATGAGGTGGACCGCGCCGCCCAATTGCCAGACCTGCTGACCCTCAACAAAACAAACAGTACCAACAGCAGCAGTAGCATAAGCAGCAGCCGGAACAACTGCATCCCGGCCGCGCCCATCGACGACATGCTGGAGTTCGAGCAGTCCCTGACCCGCCAGTGCCTCTGCGGTGTTTCGGAGAGGACGCTGCGCAAGCCGTTCCAGTCGCACTACTCCCAGGACAGCAACGGACAGAAGCGAATCGCCTATCTGCGCGAGTGGCCCACCAACAAGCTGCTCCAGTTCCTGTCCAACCTGCAGCTGCTGTTCGACATATACTTGAAGCAGAATGCCAAGGGCTTCATCTGCACTCGGATAATGGACGTCTGCGACGCACTAATCCGCAACGACCACAAGCTCATTGACGAGATCATCGTCCTGGCCGGCTACGACAACCCGTACGTGCAATTCTTGGCGGGTCGCGTCCTGGCCGCCTTCCTGGTTATTGCCAAGCAGGAGCTGAACGACGAGTGGCTGCAGAAGATCGTCGACCAGCTGTTCAACTTCGAGCAGCTGGACCAGGCCGCCGTGCAGAAGATCCACTTCAGCCTGGACATAATCAAGCGCATCGTCGAGTGGAAGGACATGGAAATCCATCCGCTGGACGACGATTGGATGGCGGCGGCCAACACGGCGACAGCAGCTTCTTCGGTAGTTCCACTCCCCACAGAAGCCTCTGTCAGCTACATGCACTTTCCCGTCCAGGAGCAGCCAATATCCAGCAACTACTTTGCGCTGCAGTTCCGAGAGGATGCGGCGGTCGATGCCGAGCCAGAACCCACCGACAATCGGGAGAGGCACCGACGGCACTTTGGCGAGGAGCTGAGCGACGGATACGACTCCCATTCCCAGCCAACACCCACGTCCGCGTCCGTGCCCAACGGCTGTCACGTGGTCACGCTCACCGATTCGGAGAGTTTCGATACCACGCACCTCAAGTGTATTACCATACAGAAGCTGGAGCACAAGTGGCCCACTCTGGTGAAGAATATGTCGGAGCTGATGGCGCCCGCGCACCAGGACGCCACCGAGCACTGCGTCCTAAACTTCCTGCAGCTGTGGGAGAACATAATCTCGGTGAAGGCCAACCTGTCGATTGATGAGACGCGCCCCTACTACGCCCAGCTGGACAAGTTCGAGATGCTGCTCAATCACAACCTCTCCTGCACCGTCTACAAACAAATGCTGTGCCTCTTCAACGAGGCCCTCTGCTACGGCTCCACGCTGGCACTGCAGGACATGCTACCCGAGGAGACGTGTAAGCTGGCCCATCAAATCGTACGCCACGTGCGAGGCTTCCGGATCCTTGAGTCGCTGCCGCGCCGCCAGCCCGACAACATGGTCAGCCTCATCGGTTACAATGGCAGGCCGCTGTTATATGGCAACGGAAGCATTGCCCTGGCGTCGCAGTCCTCGCCGTCCATGGGCGCTGGACAGGATGGGGACGATGTGGCGCCACTGGACCTCATCGAGATGGACAAGACGTTGCTGCAGAAGATGGTGCTGCTGGTGCTGAAGTCAATAGCGGTGACCGTGAAGGAAATCCGCAGTGATTCGTCGGACTCGTCCATCGACTCGAGCGACTACGACGCCTTCCAGGACATGATGCTCATCGAGCGCTCGATCCGGGACGTGCTCAGCAAGCTGGAGCGCTTCATCAAGCAGACGCTGGAGTTCCACCCGGAGTGCCACTTCAGCAAGATCCTGATCCACCTGTTCGACGACCAAGACGACCACCTGATCGAGGCCATGGTCTGTACGCTGGACGTCACTTCGGGCATATCGTTCCGGAACAACGCCTTCCCAGAACTGGTCGACATGCTGAACCCGGTGTACACATTCCTCGAGTTCCTCAAGATGACCTCGAACAGCTCGGACCTGCTGCTGGACCTACTCGTGAGCAACGAGACCTGTTTCCTGCTCTACCTTCTCCGGTTACTCAAGTACGTGCGCATGAACTGGACCATGTTCGTCCACAGCTGCAACAGCTTCGGAATGGGCAGCACCATGCTGGAGGAGGCGATGGGTGTGCTCATACGGCTGCGCCTGCAGATATCGCGTCTGGTGTCGCGCCAACTGTATCCCTATGACATATCCCCGGTGCTGCGTCTGCTGGAGAGCTGCGAGAGTCTCTACGAGGGCAACGAACTGAGCTGAGCTGAGATCAGATCGGATCAGAATCAGATCAGAAATGGACAAAAAAAACCACTATATGCAATTAAAATACGTAATTTATTTTAATATTTAATGGAATAGGAGAAACTAGCGCAAAATTCGATGAAATGGATCCTTGTAGCATATCACTCCACTCCGCACTCGGCACTCCGCACTAAGCACCACTCGACATATCTCCACAAACTGTCCCGATCCAGTAACGCGATAACCCTAGTTAAGTTCTATATACTCCTCATCCGATTCGCAGGCCTCTCCTCTCCTCTCCACCTAGTTACATAGCTGTATGTAGTTGTCATTGTAATGAGCATCATGAATTCCAAACTAAGCACTACCTTAGCCTAAGATTGTGTTAATCTTGCCTTAAGTAGAGTAATGTACAATAGGATGGCGGCCCACAAGATTGGCTCATCCCGCGAGAGGAATATTCTTTGTACGTTTTTTTAAAACACTTGAATATACAACCTAATTAACTGATTAAAAGAAACGCATTAAGACAGACTAAGCAATGTGCTATTTTCAATTATTATAGAGTACTCGTTGGTACTGGTATACTGGAGTCTCTGCAATTTCGATGGGTTTTGGCCTGGTTGGTAGTATCTGGTATTCAAAGCTCTTTCACATTCCATTCTTTCAATGGCGATTTATCATGCGGACACGTCGCTTGGGATCGGCTGGAGCTGGCATGGTACTGGCGTCTGGAGTCTGTCCCGTCAGGCTGATCACCGAGCCGCGTCGCGACAGCTCGGCAGGATGGGGGCCCGACACGTAAACGGTCTGATAGTTTATGGTAATGGGCACCGAGGACCTGCGGTTCATGCGCGGCTCTGCAGGAGAAAAGGGGTTCGTCTTATGGGCGATGCGCTCAATGGATGGATTTTTACCAAAACGAACATCTCCAGGATGATGTCGGCCGACCAATGGCGATGTAACTGGCGGTGGCCCAGTGCCATGTCCAACTGGATCCGATCTATAGCGGTCCACCGATACGGAGCGCACTTCGCCCAGATTATGCCTGCGCCGGAAGATGGCCGATTCCTCAGCTTGGCATGCATATGGGTGATTAGATTAAGATCAGTCTTAAGGTCAGTGGCGGAAAAGCCCATTCAAAGATCAGATCAGAGCAGAGCAGAAATGAAACGCAAGCTAACACGGATGGCTACGATAATTGATCACAGGATAGCACATAGTAATTGATTTATTTTACGATTACACACATATAGGACAGATATAATATATATATATTCAGATATATACAACCTTACATTCAGTACAGTTTCACGAAAAAAAGTGAAAGGAGAGTAAACAACTGTGGACTTGGGGGGGTAATCTCATCTTAATAGAAAAAACAATAATTATAAACAGAGTTTTCGAAACCCGAAAAAGTGCGATTATAGGATAGAGAGATATACATATATATATATAGAGATCAAAAAAGGCACATTGGAGGTACGATATAAATACTAGTACTTGATGCATTTTCCGAAAAAAGTCCGAAAAGTCAGAGCTCTCATACAAGAGTGGACGACAGTGCATTACATTACAGAAAATTGGCCAACTCAGTACATATAGTAGCAGTAGACAGTGGTAGTAGTAGTAGACACATTTAGATTTGGTTAGGATAACAATTCACTTGTTCCCTCGTTTACATGGCGTGCACCTGGCCCATCGATTTCAAAATTTTGGCAAAGTTTTTGGTGAAATACCTTTTGATGCCCGCCGGTCTTGCTTGTGGATTTGTGCATAGGACTGCAGGGAGCAGCGCCTCAGCCGTTTGTCGCCCTTGCTCTGCTGTCGGAAAGGTAATATTTATGAGTCCATATGAGCTATATATATACCCGATGGTCTCACCGATTTGTAGTGCTGGTTGATGTCGGAGGCGGCCTTTAGCAGAAGATAAATGAACACCAGGGCGAAGAGGTAGATGATGGGCTCTGCCGTGTTGCTCTTCTTGGGCGCCTCCTTCTTGCGGCTGATCTCCAGGGCCTTGGCCTTTGCATGCTTGCTGCCTGCTCCAATTTTGATCCTCTTGCTAAGTCTGGACTGAGGCCGCTTAGAAACCTGGCTCTCGGATTTATTTCCATCCACATCTCCGCCAAATATATCCATTCTCTGGCAGGCCTCCTCGTGATGCTCTGCCTGCGCCTCCATGGGCTCTAGTGGGGACTCCTCGGATTGATTTTCAGCTTGGGGCAGGTCATAGGCAGCCACTCCCGACCTGAAATAGTATCTGTAGTTGCGCTGCAACCCAGCAGCCATAATATAGACGGTGCAGAGCACCACCAGAATCCCTAGGGGCACCACATGATGATTGTTACTGTCCTTCGCCTTTCGCTTTTTGGGAGTCAAAATGGCCCTAATGTCATCGGACACAGTAGTACTGTCCCCGGTCGGCGATTTCATTGCCGAGCTCACTTTCTGTTTACTATTTGTCCAAAACAATAAAGGGACTTTGTGTATCTGTTGACTGTGAGTCCTATTCGTGGCGGAAAATCGATACGGATTAACGTCCCAGCCTCACACAATAGGTGAGCATTGTAATCCTGGCAATGCCGCACCACGACAGAAGCACACTGGATACTACTGTACTGGATACTATGTATTTTATTGGACTTATTGCTTTATTTTTTAAACAGTCAAAACTGTTCCGGACAATGGCTCTCCACCACCGCGCTGTCACACATGGTTGTGTGTGTCTGTGTTTACCTTGCCGCCCTTTGACATTCAGGTGGTGGCACTATACGTTATTTTAAATTCTAAAATTGCAGATATTTTTCAACTAAATGCTAAAATTAAAAGTTATATACAAATATTAAGAGGGTTTCAGCATTCAAAGTAGCCGTTGGACATTCCGGTCAGCTGATCAAGTATATCTGAAAATTAATTTTATAAATAATTCGGATATCAGCAATAAAAATGTAAAAACCACCTGTGATTTCCAGATCTGCCGACTGATTGCTAATCGAGTTATACAGTTTCCTGCTTTCCGCAATATTTTGGCGTTTGAACATCACAGTTCTCAAGCTCTCCCCTTCAAAATTCATAAAATCCATTAATTTCTTTGTACCCACTACTTAGTATTCTAAATACCTACTTTTTAAAAGATTTCCATTCGGCTTTTGCTTTTGTGACTTCATGTCGTTATTAGGTTCCTGATTAGGGTCCTTGGTTCTGTTTATTCGACCCCTGCGCTCTGAGACATAAAGAATACTAGTTTGTCCCGAAGTTAATCCAGAAAATTGCTTTAAATCCTCCTTCGAGGCGTTGAAATCCTTCGGATCTTCCGCAACGTGGACTCCCAAAGGATGAGGGAAATCATCCTCGCGCTGCTTCCCAGATCCAATGCAGTTTTGAAGCTTGCGCAGAATTGTGCGCAGGATCTTGAAGCGCTTAATAATTCGTTGCGGCTCCACTTGGGATGCGTATATCAGAATGGCTTTGCATTCGCGCAGAATCCTGATAAGCTGCTGGAAGTACTCCTCTCCGAGTTGGTCCTTTGTCTCTCTTAGAACCTGACGATTCACTTCTAACTGAAAATGCTCAAGCAGCACTAGAGACATTTGTGATAGATCCTCTAGCTTTGCTTTATTGTATGACTTTTCGACGGCAGTAATTCCAGTCGTGAGAATCTCAAAGTAACATCCAAGAAGCGCTCGACTATCGATTATCTCCTGCAGAGCCATCTTAAACTTGCCCACTTCCTCGTTGAAGTGCTGTTCAAGTATGTCAGAGTGCAAGTCCGAACCATTGGCCTGCAGAGAAGGTATCAACGAAGTGTCCAACGATTCAAAGGAAGCCAGACAGCTGCGTATCATTGTTTTTACTTTGAGAATAAATACAAATTAATTATCAATCATAAATGGATCCAAATAATACAAATAATAGTTAATTTCCTTACATTTCAGGTTTGGGGCAAAAGCTATAGCGAATATTCCAATCTGGGTAGCACGATCGATGTTCACATCAAAGTCTGCTATGAATTCATCGGCCATTGCTTCATCTTCCAGGCTGTTTCTTAGAACGTTTCGTATTTTTTCCACCGAGAACTTGTCAAAGTCCACAAAGCAGTTGAACACCAGCCGCAACAGAGCGTCGTTGATGAAGTCCTCTAACTGGCAGAGCGCCTGCTCCAAGGTCATGGCTTTCAGCTTTAGATTGGAGTAATAACTTTCGCTGGAGACTTTCGGAAACTGGCACTCTTTCTGGAAAGCGTTGCACTCCCGTATAACCTGAAAGAATTGAGGTTTAAATAAATTCTTGGTATGTTTTGCTTGTAAACCTTTTGACATAGGGCACTGAGAGCCCTTTTGTCCTGCGGCAGGGATACGTTTGCGAATCCAAGTGCTTGGCTCAAGACAGTATCTATGTTGGAACGCAGTTGTTGGCTGACGGACACTATTTCCTCGGGTGACTCCAGGATGTTTGAGGACAAAGAGGTATTCTCGTTGTGGGAACTGAACCAAGCCAGTGCATCTAAGCTTGAATCTATTAGTTTAAGGAAGGAGCGCTCAGGAACAGCCGCAGCCGCTTCTCCATTAGTGTACAGATGTAAGAGACGCTCCAGACACCATCGTATCCGATCGAGGAAATACTGATGACTGGCCTGATTCGTAAAATATAGTCATATAGTCAAATTTTTTTTTTAAATGCTCTCAGAGTACTCACAGAAACTGAGGTGCTGCAACCAAGCTTCCCCATTCCTTCAACCTGGCGAATACATATCATTATTTGGCTTAGGCATAGGCACACCATGTCCGCGGTCTCGCTCTGTTTATGGCTGCTTAGGGAACTGTGGACCAATGTGGAAAATTCCAATAGCGCGGCACAAAAATCCTACAAAAAGATCAACAAGTGAGTCTCCTTGGAGCCCTAGGAACCTTCATGCTTACATTTAGCCAGCTTAAATCCTTGATGTTGGTCCCCTTAGTCCTGAGGTCCAAAATGTGCAGGCAGGACTCTATTTTCTTTCTTAAAACGTCCATATTTCCGGTAAAATAGTTTTATTAACACCGACTTAAAGGTGGTAAACAGATTTTTTGAAAGTGGCTTCAGTTTCTGGGTGAATGGCATTACCATGGCGATGCCAGATATTTAATAGGAGTGCGGCAGAGTTGCCAGAATATCTGATAAATGTCCTGGATTTCAAACCCAAAGGAGTAGCTTCATTTTAAAAACTGGCTCAGCTTTTTATCTTGCACTTCGTCCAATTAGAGGGAGATTCCCTCAAGTTTACAATTAGGCTTTTGAAAAAGCACTAATCCTTCCTCCAGCAAGGCCATATATCCACCATTCCCGGAACTATTGAATAACTTCTTTTTACCCATAAGCATCAGTATAAAGAGAAAATAATAACCAGAATTTTATGTTTTCAAACAAATTTAAATCAAAAACTAAGCAATTGTTCCATAGAACAGTTTTCTTAAGCAATCCTCGACCTAAGCTGTATAATCATTGGCAATAGCTGCGGCATCGGCATCGTCTCTGAACATCTGAGCCACTTGTGCACTGGGCAGGATCTTTTGGGAACTTCCGGTCTTCGTCTTGCGCCAGATGTCCCATTCCACTGGATGCATTTTCTTCTTGTGAGAGTGCATGTTGGCGTTTGAGTTGAAGGTGCGAGGACAGAAGGGGCACTTGTAAAGTGGTTCTCCAGTGTGCTGAGCCATGTGCTCCTAAAAAATTGAATAAAAATTTAAAAAATACATAAAAGTGATAAACAATTGTCGCACCTTTAAGCTGATATCTTTTTTAAAGGTCTTGCCGCATTGTTCGCAGGTGTAGATGACATTAGAATGGGAGTAGCGCTTGTGACCAATCAGCGCTCTAGAGTTTTTACAACTTTTTCCGCACTCTGAGCAAATGAAGAGCTTTCCCTCGTCGTTGTGCCGCCTCAAGTGTTGCTTCAAGTTGTCCTCATCTTTCAGCCAGCTCTCGCAGTCCGGCCGCGGGCACTTGATGCGTGGGCCACTCTCCTCGAAGTGTAGGCGAACGTGCTTCTCAAAAACAGCCTTATCTTTAATTTTCTTGCCACAGACGTGGCATATGTTGGCCGCTTTGCGGTGTTGCATGCTAATGTGGACTTGCATATGGTACTCTGTGGCAAAACTGGAGAAAAAAGATGCTTTATATTTAGAAAAATCATTTCTAAAATAGGAAGTACGTACGCATTGTGCTTTGGACATTGCGGACAGATAAACTTGCGCTCGTTCACTGGCACATGGGATCCTTTGTGCAGCTCCAGTAAGTTGCGACGAGAGAATCGCTTGCCACAGTCCTCGCACTGGAAGTCGCATTCCTCGTCTGGCACATGGTGCACCAGCCAGTGGGCCCGCAGTACACTTGAATTGGCAAACACCTTTCCACAGTCCTTGCATCTGTGAATTAAAGTGGTGCATTTTTATAAAGAAACACATTGATTTATAGGGACACCTACTTTATGTACTCTGGGTTCTCATGCCGTCGTGCATGTTCCTGGATAAGACACCTCTTGTTCAGCTTACGGCCGCAACACTTTATATACGGCCGTTCATCCGGGTGCTTTTCCTTAAAGTGTTCACGAATACCGTCAAAGTCCTCGGCCAGGAATATACACAGCTCGCATCCCATAACAATATAGCGTTTGATCAGTTCTTCGTCCTCCTTGCAGAACGGGGGCAGACGCTCCATCTTAAATATTCTTTTTGTCGGCCCTCGTTTGGGGACAGCCTTCTCCTTGCTTTTTCTTCCCGGCCCTGTCTTTTTCGTCTTGGCTGGCTTGGCCACCTCCCGTTTCCGTTTGCGTCCGCTCCTCGTGACGATTAGGTCCTCCTCATCATCGTCATCGTCTTCGTCCTCGTAGTCATCATCATGGTCATCGTTGTTGGTATCCTCGTGGCCGTATTCCATTTCTGGTGATTGCCTCTCAGTTTTGATGTCTACCTTGCTGTCCTCCAAGTCCTCCGGCTCGAGGCTCTGGGACAGTTCGAGCTCGTCCAGAGGATTAATGTTCAGCTGGGCGCTTACGTCGTTGTCAACGGCCAACACATCTGCGGGCATCAGAACCTCTTCTGGCCAGGAGGTACTCACCATCTCCGGATCCTGCTTGAACTTCGCTGTGGTGGCATAAATCACCTGCGCTTCCTGAATGGACAGGTAGAACTGGTGGAACTCACTGACCTGGGTCCAGCAGACATTGCAGATGACCTTGGATATCTCATCGTTGGGCAGCACCTGGCAGCACAGTGGGAGATGAGAACGAGATCAGAGAGTGACTGGGAAATAGGCCCCACAAGACCTGCATACCTCAAACCAGAAGTGCTGCCGCAGCACCTCCGCCACCTTGTTGTCCGCCGTATCTGCATTAAAGATCTGCAGACACATCTGGGCTCCGCCAACTCCGCGCAAACACAGGCGGCAGATATCCATTTTGCATTTATTTGATAAAACTACAAATAAAAAATAGTAATTTACATAGCGCTGGCGATGGGCGTTTGAGGCAAAAGTTTTCGTGCGCTAGAGATGGTAGATAATCTGATAGTGAAGGATAAATGTTCGTGCGTGATGACCGATAGCCGCGGCCGGGTAGCAATGAGCTCTCATCTCTATTTTCACAATAATGCAGAATAAACTTGGAAAATGAGTAAAGTGAATAAACAGAAGGATACTGCTGCGGCGGCTACGTCAGGAGTGAAGGTAGTAGTGTCCCGTGTAGCCTAGAGCGCCCTCTTCATGGTATATTGTTTTCTTATTTTCCATAGCGGATTAGCGAGAAGAAATTAGAGGCCTTCACTGTGGGCACCTTTTCGAAGCGACAGTTATCCAAAAAGGAGATCGAGGAGCAAAAGAAGAAGGAGGATGCAGCAGCCGCAGCACATGTGAGTATACAAGGATATCCCTATTCTTCCGGCTTTAACGAACCCTCATTATTTCAGGCGTTCAAGGAGTTTGTGGAGACGTTCCAGGAGGCACCCACACCATCCTCCAAGGTGTGGGTTAAGGCTGGTACTTACGATGCGGGAACCAGGCGCGAAGACAAATCGGAAAAGGGCAAGCTTTACAAGCCAGGCGCGAAGCTGCTCGAAAAGAGCTCCTCCGACAAAGCCGAGGAGTACGCCAAGACCCTGGCTTCTGACCTGAAGAAGGACTCAGGACCCTTGAAGAAGAAAAACCAGGAAAAGAAAAAGAGCAACTTGGAACTCTTTAAGGAGGAACTAAGACAGTACGTATTATACAAGGTAGTACTCTTAATAAATTAAAACTCTATTTTTACAGAATCCAAGAGGAACGTGAAGAGCGTCACAAGTACAAACATATGGCTGTATCCCATGCCCACACTCAGCCATCCCAACAACAACAACAGCCCCAGGCAAAGCCTAGCAACAGCAATGAACCAGCCAGTTCCAAAGCTTCAAACAGCGCCCGGGACTCAGGATCATTTGATACTGGAGATCCCAATACGACCAATCTTTACCTGGGCAATCTGAATCCCAAAATATCTGAGCAACAGCTAATGGAGATCTTTGGGCGTTATGGTCCCCTGGCTAGTATAAAGATAATGTGGCCACGATCGGAAGAGGAAAAGCAGAGAGGTCGTAATTGTGGGTTCGTAGCCTACATGAGCCGCAAGGATGCCGAAAGGGCACTCCGGGCTCTTAATTGCCGATACGTGATGGGCAACAAAATGCAACTTGGATGGGGTACATTATGCCTATTTGCTCTCAAGTTTCTCTTATAATTAAAATATTATATATTAAATAGGTAAAACTGTTCCAATTACGAACACACCCATATTTGCTCCGCAAGCTCTGTTGGAGTTGACGCTACCTCCGCCGCCCTCTGGACTTCCGTTTAATGCTCAGCCACCGCCAAGCGAACAAGATGTTTTGCCCAAGAAAAACTATAAGGAATTTGACAAGGAGGAGGACAAGGAAAATATGGAAAGGGTAAAACTTGTGCATGTCCCATGATTGTAAACATTTTATCATCACATTTCCCTTTTAGATTCTTGGAAAGTGTGTTGTAAAGGTCGTTATTCCAAATGAAAAGTAAGTTATTTTACCCTTAAAAAATATGTTTATTTAAATACTATTTTAAATATTTTATAGGGCTGTACTAAACATTATACATCGGATGATTGAATTTGTTATTCGAGAAGGCCCCATGTTCGAAGCTTTGATAATGATTCGGGAAATGGAGAATCCGCTTTTTTCGTTCCTCTTCGATAATGAGAGTCCAGCTCACATCTACTATCGATGGAAACTATTTTCGTTGCTGCAAGGCGATACTCCCAGCGAGTGGAGGGAGAAAGATTTCCGCATGTTCAAGAACGGACCAGTTTGGCGGCCACCGGTTGCCAATTTCTTTACTCAGGGTATGCCGGATGAGTTGGTGGTGGATCCTGATGCTCCTGTTACCCATTCTGGAGCCTTATCTCATGCGTATGTTAACCGAATAGAAGTTATTCCAACTATAAACTAACCATATCCCTTTCAGGCAACGAGATCGCCTTGAAGACCTTCTAAGAAATATAACTCCGGAGCGTTCCCGCATCGCAGATGCTATGATATTCTGCATCGAGCATGCGGGCTCTGCTGATGAGATCTGCGAATGCATCGCCGAGTCTTTGTCGGGTGCCAAGACATTGGCTTCCAAGAAGATAGCTCGATTGTATTTAATTTCAGATATTCTGCATAATTGCACAGTTAAGGTTTCGAATGCTTCATTCTTTCGCAAATCGTAAGTCATGGACACTTAATTCTTACACTCCTTACTGAGTTACCTTTTTCTACAGCGTGGAAAAACAATTGGTTGAAATCTTTGAGAGTCTGCACACTTACTACTCGAACATTGAGAGTCGTTTGAAAGCGGAAGGTTTCAAGTCAAGGGTCTGCAACGTCATTCGCACTTGGGAGGAATGGACCATCTATCCCAAGGAGTTTTTGGCCCAGCTAAGGGCTAAGTTCCTCGGGAAACCGGTTAGTTACAACTTCAAAATTTATCAATTTCCATTCTTTGATAAGAAAAACACTTCTTTAGTATGTCATGCCATCGAGTTCGTCACCTCAAGCCGAGGAAGAGCCCTCTGAAGAAGCTCTGGATGAAGATATTGATGGTGCCCCTCTCTCAGGAGAGGAAAAGGACGACGAGGACCTGGACGGAGTGCCGTTGGACGGAGCTGCTTTACTCAAAAGCGCCTTGAAGCGAGCCATGCCCGAGGCTGCTACTCCCCAGCGAAATACTCCAAGGAAGGATGATTATCTGGACGAGATCGACGGCGTACCACGTGAGTCTAGAAAACTATTACCTCTTAAACTCGAAATCAAAGACATGTTTGCAGTTGACGAGGATCTCGATGGCGTGCCGCTCGAAAAAGAGGTAAAGCCTCAGGCAAAGATGCCTGGATTTATTCCATCCAAGTGGGAGACTGTGGATCCACAGCAGGTGGAGGCCCAGGCCATTACCACAAGCAAATGGGACACTCTCGATCCACCAGATCCTCCAAAGTTCTACAGCTCCGACGATGACAGTGAGGATGACAATTCTCAGACATACAACGACGAAAAGCGTCAAAAGCTAAGAGATATCGAATTGAAAGCCATTCAGTACCAGGACGAATTGGAGTCTGGAAAACGGCGCTTGGAACCAGGATGGACTGTTCCAGAGCAAGTAGAGTATTTCCGTAAGCGGTTGCTGAAACAGGTATGCTTCTAATACATAATATTAGAAGGAACATTACTACAAGTTCTTTCCACTGTTTATCCAGGATTCCAGATCAGAGTCTACCGTGGACTCGCCTCTTAGCTACATGCACACCAAGACTAAGAGCTCTAAGCATAGCGCCAGCCCACCGTACAGTAGTAGCTCTCGCAAGCGTTCGCACTCGCCAGAGTCCAAACGTCGTGACCATTCGCCGGAAACCTCCCGCAGCAGCAAATCCTCAAAACGTAATCGCTCGCGCAGCCCTTCGGATTCGCCGAAGCGCTATTCGGAACGATCCTCTCGTAGTTCCAAGTACGACAGTCCGGCATCTAGCTCTTCGCGCTCCAGAAAGTCCCCATCGCCCTTTGCTTCACGGTCATCTCGCCGTGAGGAGACGTCACCCCCAAAATCTCGCACTGACAAGCACAAACACCGGCATAGGCATTAGGCACTAGGCTCTTCTCATCTCTTGACTACCAGGATTATAAATAAAAACAATGGATTGTTTAAATACACAGTATATATATATATATTTTAAGTCTAAGTAATTGTTAGGATGTGGGAGACACGCACAACACACGGCCAGGAAGTTCGATTCCGCTCTGCGAATTTGTCTAAAAACATGAATCTAAGCAAGCTATATATAAATGGTTACGATTGTTAAGGAAAGCGCCGACCATCCCCAGGGATCCCCGATCCCAATTTTCTACCTTTCCTCGAACTGAACCGAAAGGCCAACACACAATGGGTGTATAAACTTATAGTGGCTAATGAAATGTGGCTTAAAAGTAGATGCGAACTGCCTCCTCGGCGTTCTGCTCCACGGGGCAGTAGGGGCACTTCAGTATGTGACCGTTGCTAAGTTTGTGGAGGGCGTCGTTGGAAATGACATGGCCGCAGGTCAGCTTCTTTGGCGGGTTGTCCTCTGAAGTCTGCTGGCGCAGGATGGGACAGGCAAATATCGAATGGAAACGGAACTCTGGCTGCAGATCTATTTCGATTGGTAGCTCGTCGCAGCCGTTCCACATTCCCAGCACCTGGCGTGACTGCATCACCTGCTTAATGTTCAGCAAGGCGGGCAGGGCAGTGCACCCGGCGTTCACCACGACAGACAGGGCAGAGTTCTTGCTGATGCCCAGCAGCTGACAGGCGTCCTTCAGAAATATGAACGAGAGCTCAGTCCACATCTCCTGTCCAAGAAAGAGCTTGTACGGCGAGTTCTCCAATCCACTTGGCAGGTATATAAAACTGGCCATCAAATTAGCTATCTCGTGCTCATAACGTACTGCGAACTTCTTAAAGTTCAGCCGGGCGTATGCGATGGCCTCGCGTTGCGATTCCAGGCCGTAGGAGACCAGCTGCATGAAACGCATACGGTGCAAGCGGAACTCTATCAGCGAGTGCCTATCCGAAAGCTGCTGCGAGTAGGTCTTGGCCCACTTGAGGGCGTCGGTAAGGTCACGTTTCTGTATCTTGACCCAAATGCCGTATATGTCGGCGAACTCACGTTCCGAGTCGAACACATCCTGGGCGTGCTCCTCCGGCATCTTGCATTCCCTGATCAGGGTGCGAGCCACATCGTCCATGCCCTGACGGCAGTAGTGCTTAGCAATGGCCTTGTTTAACAACATTAGGTTATCCTCGTCCTGGAGAACGTCCACGCGCATGGTGGAAGTGAAGTCGGCGCTGAAGTTGCGGTCTATGGCTTTGCCTATCTTGGAAATGGAGCCGTGCAGGTCGCGATGCTCCGTGGAGAGCTTCTGAACGCGTTCGTTGCATTTCAAAATAGCCTCTCGAATAATGCCCATCTGGCGGTCGGTTAGGCGCTGGGGAGCCGTTGGCTCCGTTTCCACCTGCATGCTCACACCATCACCCATGGGATCATCGCCGCTGGCAGGTGTTGCGCTCACCTGAGTGCTAGAATTGAACGTAGTCACCATTTGCTCAGCTTTCCCCAGCACTTTGACCAGCTCCGACATCAACGATGCGATGTCCCCGATATCAGCAGAGGCATTCTCATGCAACTGCTCCAGTTTGGTGACCACTCTGGTGAGGTCCTTCTCCACCGACGCACAGGCCCACGACTCGTTGTCCATTGTTGGCTCCAGTTTTCGGGGCAGAGAACAGAAACGGCCACGCCAGGCGCACAAACTCCTGATTTCAGCTGTTAGCAGTAAAACTTTCTATCTGGACGCACTTCTTCGAAGTCACTGCGACTATCGACGGTACCGTTTTTAATTATATTATATTGCGTATTTATAAATTGACAAATTTTGTAACACAAAGGAACAGAGGCAGTGCTGCCAACTTGGCAATTTTTCTCAAATTTCGGTTGGCTAGTCCACTGTTATCTGGCTATTTTTAAAAAATAATTTAGTGAAGAGAATAATAACAAATTATTTTATCTTTTTCAAAAAATCCATATAAAACTATATTAAAGAGTTATTAATAAAAACAAATGTTTTTCCCCTCTATAACCTGCGTTGCCAACTATTAGTTGGTTTAGTGCTGCCAAGTTTCGATAGCGAACAGTGTGACCCAGCCCGCCGGACAAAACTGAAAAATCAATTTTATTGCCGCTGCTTTCTGGCAGAGAAACTTGTAACGACAAACAGACAGTTTGAAATAAGCCATAGTTAGATAAGTTAACGAATCCAAAAATAAACATAAGGTCTATACCAACGAAACTGGTAATTATTCAATATTTCTATATAAAAGTTATAAAAAGAATTCCAAGGACAAAGGATCTCTGGTGCGCTGTGTTCATATTTTTAAAAATAAAGTATGAGTATATGTTTTAAGCCGAACGACATTGAACCCTGTTACAATGCCGTGCCTCCAAAAATAAAAACACTAATTGGACATGCGGACAGCACGGAATCTTTGGCCACAAACGACAGTGTTTGGAAAATAATATTTTAGTGGCATCGTGTCTAGTGAAATAAAATAAAAGCAATGCACGGTTTACAATTTTACTTTCGCCAAGTGCCAGTCAGTGCGTTTGAAAGCGAAATGGAAAACTCATACCCCGAGGAAAACTCGTTGTACTTGTATGTGTGTATCTCTTAGCACTTGTCTGTGATAATAAGAGAGCAGAAGCTGTGAAATGGAAATATCAAAACATATAATCGTTTAGAAACAATGGTGGTTAATTTATTAGAATTTCAAAAAAGACTTTTAAAGTTTTTCCAACTGTCCTATATGGTTCTCCACTTTCCAAACTTTAAGCCCAAAAAGCCATAATTTTTTAAGGTTTTTCATTAACAGAAAATGTGATAAGAAAATAGATGATGAGTTAGAGAAAAGCTTTCTCAGACACTTGAAATTTGTAAAACGTTTCAAGAATTTTTCGGTGCTATTTCCTTTTCTATAAATGTGAAGAGAGCTCTCGAAAATATCCGTACCCGGTGCAGGTCCAAGCTGCAAATCATTTTGTCTTCTTGATGCCAAAAAAAAAAATAAATAAGAAAATAATGCCCGATGCCGATTAGATTATGAAAAAATAAAGAGCGCGGTCGTACGAGTTGCTTCGTCGGGGCATCCGAAAATTCGCTAATAGTTTTCAAAATTTGCACGGCCAGTTGGGGAACAACATTCAAACTTTGCGTAAGCATTTCGCTCCGGCCAGCTTCTGTTTCCGTCCCGTTGGGTCCAGGAACACTTTTCCGCAAACTAATTAAAACGTTTCTTTTGGAGAAGCAGGCAGTATAATTTATGCTGTCATTAATTGCGAAGAGCCTCTGAAATATGTGTGCAGGAATGAGTGAAAATAATAAAGAATTATTAGACAGTCCGAAAAGACCGAATTGCGCGAGCTAAAAATAAAAAATATCGGGACCGCTATTTATGTAATAAACTTTTTTGTTTTCCCTCAACAATATTTAAATGTATACACTAGCATTTTGCGTTGTGATTCGTTGTGCCCAGTGATCTGAATAAAACTCCGACGTACCGAAGCGTGTAACGGGAATATGAATCTCTGTATCTTTCAGATAATGCTTTAAACGTACAACTGTGAAAACCAACCAACATGAGCCAATGTCAAAGTTAACCAAGTGCAGGAAACACAGCGCCTAGCCGAACAGCTTTCAGAGATTCGCCAACGAACCAGAAACAGATCAGGAATACATCAGCAGAGTTGCCTTAGGATTAAGCTTTAGCTACCAACGACCATACGAAAAGGACCCGCCAGGATCCACAGATTCCATTTAGAATGCCCGCAGCCGCCACTACGAAGCAGCGCCCGCCCGCCTCCGTTGCCGAGGAGGGCATGACGCCCAAGAAGACTGCCCTCATCATTGTGACCGTCATCGGATGCATTGCCATTCTGTGGCCAAAGGTCTTTCATCCCATGATGTTTGGAGGAGTAGCGCCGCCCAAGCAAAACTTTAAGGATCAGAGAGCTGCCCCAGGCGGTAAGTCCCTTAAGGGGTGTCATTGTTGTTATTATTATTTGAAAAGATATAATTTTTTAAAGATTATATATTTATTTGTATACATTTTTCTTAATTATTATTATTTTATATTTTTTTTCGTATTTATGTTTTTGTCTGTGTGGGCTGTGGTGTTGTAGGCTGTTGCGATGTCGTGCTCGACAGGGAGCACTTTATGAATGCCTCTAAGCCGGGAAGCCCCGAGCCCTTTGGGCCGCATTTGTACCGCAAGCAGATCAATGTCTATACCGGCGAAATAAGTAGGTGGCTTAGCCTTCCTCTAAAATATGTACTAACATAATTAAGAAGCTTTTTCAAATCATAAAATCAAAACAAACTATTAAATCTGAATGGTTGATCTAACATATTGACTTCTGCTCTTCCGTTGTACTAACACAAGTGTTTTGCTCTTTATAAGTTGGTTTTATGGGCATTTAACCAATACAAATTCTTTCCAGGTCTACGCCAGGAGCGTCCAGCCCACCTGCATCCGGAATCCATATATCAGGCAATGCGGGAGCGTGGGCGCGCCATTCCGGCCACTCCCACCGTTCCCATAGTGGAGCGCAAGAGTTCGCCCAGTAATCCGCCTCCGCGAATTGTCGACGGGCGGGTGAGTTACCCCATTCCCTATTACCTCCTTCCCCCTTTGCATTATTCTCCGGATCCGGTAAATCCACCATTATACTATATATTGGCGATTTAAATGACGGGTATGAGACATCGTTGCTCGCATTGGAAGTCATTTATAAATAGCCGAAACGTTTATTTTATTTGGATTCGGGTTTTTGTTTTTATGACACTGCACGCAAATTGAAGGCAGAAGACTATAGGCAGAAGACCGAAGACAGAGCAGAAGAAAACACACAAAAGATACCGTAAACGATGAGTGGGAGAACGGCAAAATGTGCTTCTAAATATTGAACTTGTGCCAAATTTAACGCGCCAGTTCCATTTCGGATCGCTCTTGCCCAAGAAAACCATAGTTGATGGCTAAAAACTACAAAATCAAAGAGAGAACAAATCAGCTGTGGGCTGATCATGTCAAAAAACAATGCGGCGTATACGTAATTTTTATGATTACAAAGAGCGATTTCGGAATATTTCGTAATATGTAATTCATCATTCTGGTAGATCAATAGTTTACAAAAACCAATTTTATTGGCTATCAAAAAATTCGAAAAGCCAAAATCCATAAAGACTGTGTATATATTACAGAAATAATCCATGTTTTTTCTGCTCTAGCCTGGACCGATTCCTGGTATGCGTCCCCCCATGGGAGCCGGGGCCCTGCATCAACCACAGCAGCGTGGCAGTAGTATGGGTTTCCTAATGCCACTCTATACAATCGGAATTGTTGTGTTTTTCGGTTACACGATAATGAAGGTAAGTCCTGTCTTGAGTACGTATAAGAATCGTTCTAACAATATCATCCATAGATTGTTTTCAAGAAACAAATACCCAATTCTCCATACGGACCCGCCCCGTCGGATCCCAGTTTCCGGCAAGAGGTCTTTGGCCAACAGAAACACAGCCAGGTGGAGGACTTGGCTGGCAGCAAATTGGGTGAGTGATTGGCTTGTTCATATTACCACTCTCGTAGCTTTCGACACCTCACATCAACACACACTTAAAGCATAGCATTTCACGACATACATAAATCTAACAAAAAAAATCGAAAAAAATCTTCATTTTGTACTCTTCCGCTTCCTCTCATGCAACAACGCCCACATCTTCCTGCAATAAGGCTGGCGAGAGCACCGTACAAGTAAGACCCATGGCTCCTAGGAGTCCCTTAGTTTAGTTTTTATTTTTTGAGTTTTGTGTCCAGACAGCCAACCTGTCGATTGGATGACGGCGAAGGATACTTTGCCACCTCTTGAGTTTTGAAATATGTCCTCCTCATTTGGTTTAGTAGACCGTAGACCGACTATATGTGTTTTTATTCATTTACGTAGATGTAATAATTATTCTAGATGTTGTACATATATACGTGTGTGTTTACTAACCCCGTATCAATCACGCGTTCCCGGATTGAGTCACGTCGTCCCCAGTCCCCAGTCCAACCGTGTAAATACTTAGTTTCGTTAGACACGTTTCATCCTCCACCGGCCCTGAAAATCAATCTTAAAGCCAAACTCCTACGACAATTTTATAGGAGCTGCAGTCGAGAAGTCGCCGGCACCCAAGGACACCGGCAGGGAGCTCTACAACGCCAGTGTATCGGCCACCGAGGTGGCCAACAGCCTGTCCAATTCGCTGAAGCAGCACCAGCAGGAGAAGGAGGTCGAGCAGCTGATGGAGATCGAGAAACTGCGCCAGAAGCTCGAGAACACGGAGCGGGCGATGGCCAAGCTGATTGCTGAAATGAACACCGACCAGGTCCAGGCAAAGGTTAGCATCGCCACCGGCATCAGATCCAGATACACACATCGAGATCCAGATCCATTTACAGATACCAGATAAAAGATACAGACTCATTTCTTAATCATCGTAGCGAGTTCGTTTAGTTGGCCAACGATATCATTTATTAATCTTTTATCCTGTTTCTTTGTGTTCTCATTTTCAAGATGATTGCCATGAAGTTTCTCAAGCGGCAGCCAAACCTCTAAGACAAAATAATACCATCATTCAGTTCACATAGAATCCATCAGTAAACAGACCAAAATCAGACCAAAAAACCGCCCAACAACTCAGATCACAAACTAAGTACAAGCCAACGACTAGATTACTTTCTGTTTCTTTGATTTCTAGTGGCTAGATGAATCCTTTCGGAATGGTTTCTTACCCCACTATTCTTGTACACCACCCACCCAACCCCTCTGACCACATTCATTGTTTCCGGGTCTCTTCCCGCTTTTAACCAGTGCATGATGCGGATTACTTCCGTCTCTGACTCTGTTCTAACCTTGCTTGTCTGCTGTGAGCATGCAATACGATCTATATCCTCCACCAACTAACCAAAATATTGTCTATGTACTGCACTATATCTTAACTAAACTCTTTTGAAGGGGACATATTTTATGATTCGAGCAAGCAAGTCTCTCTTTCGATATCTATTCGAACACTATCTCTACTATTCGAGTCAAGACTGAAACATTCACATTGCCAATTAAAATAATCGCAATCCTCATTCCATCGTATAAGCTAAGGAACTGACTTTATAAATATTCACTTTCTGTCGTTTCTACGTTTTTTCATGTTTTCTTACATTCATTTGTAAAAAAAAAATGTATTTCAAAAACCTTGGGGGCATAGTTGTAACAGCCATACAAGGTTTAATAGACGCTGCCGATGAGCAATTGAACGGCCCAGACAAGCTGAGGGCGACGAGCGATACTGAATCCGATTTAAATAAGGTTAGAAGCCGTCAAAGGGTCCGGCACGGCAATCCTTGATCATTAACTTTTTGATATATGTCTGATATATCTGATTATGTAATCTTTTGTTTATTAACCAAGATCCTTCGACTAATTGAGTTTTGTTGCGTTTTCATCTAACCTCAACGAATTGAAGTAATTAATGCGTTTATTATTTTGTTTCCTTTTTTTTTTGAGGCTGTAGAAAAGCTTAGACCTGCAAGTCCTTTTATTATCTTTAAGATTGTTATCCTAATTCTGATTCTGTGCTATCGCCAGCAAAACGACAACAACGAAACGAAAGAAGACCCATCAGAGACCAAGCAGAACCTTTCCAACGGTCACCTAAAGAGCAACCAAGATCCGGACCAGGAGGCCAAGGGAGCAGTAGCTGGAGCGGGAGCAGGGCAGCAACGGAAGCGTCGGACACCGAGCGCTGAACGAGAACTTACGGTAGGATATACTTTCTTACTGACCTTCTACTGTAGATCTGTTGACGTAAATAATTGAATATTGGTTCAGGTACTGGGCATGGAGTTAACAGCCAGTTGCGAGGGTGGCCAAAGATGGACTGGACGCCCTCCAACGCCTGTTTTCCGAGCACCAAACGAACATGTAAGTTCCCCAGTCCCAGTCGCACCTATATTAGCTCCAAGCTTTTAACAATTTAATCGATCTTATATGACTGATCGAATCTACAGGGCTTTTGGATGACCCACCGCTTATATGTGTCCTTCTTACATAAAAATGTATACCCAATTTTAACAATGGTTATTTATTCCTTTGTTTTCAGTCCAAATTGGAAAACTTGCCAGAACCGCAGTCCATTTACTTGGAGGGCGCTTTGGCCCACGACTCTCAGATTTTGGTAGCCGACTCCCAGATCAAGCGCGAAGAGGTTTACGACTCTGAACTGAATGGATCAGCCGAGGAACCAGCCGTAAGGCTATGGCACATTATTTGTATGTCAGTAATTTGTCATTTATTATATTTTCAGGTAATTCTGAGCAGCAGAATGACATTATCATTGATTAATTTGGACGCAAATCAACAAAATGGCAATGTAGGCAAAACCGAAGTGGAGAGCCCCCTGGCTGATGACATTGAAATAATTGGACACGACGAAAAGTAGACAGAACAACAGTATACATTATCGAATACAAACGAAAATTTGTATGCCAATTTGCATATATTTTTGGCAATGTTTATGACTTGCTTCCGATGATGACTAAAACTATTGCAAGAGCCGAGTGAAATATTTAGAAAGTTTCGTTGAACGACGAAGATTATGACTGATTAATATGAAACAGATTTGCCAATAATTTGATATCTGATTTGTATATACATATTGTATGTTTTGATATCTTTGTTTTGTTTTTGAAAACGCCAATGTTTTTGTCTTCCTCCCAAAACCCAGTCTCTGTACTTATGCTCTCCTAACAATGTTCTTTTTGGTCGAAACGTAATCCCACTTGAATCTTCCATGAAAAAGGAAACCCCGGGCTCTGTGAAATGAATGATTTTATGTGAATACTGTTAGTTGAAACTCAACTCAAAACTAATCTATTATTAAGATAAGCCCATGTGTAATTTGAAACCGCATCGTCTATTATTGTGCACTCTACTCTTCGCATGACAACCCTCTAGTTATTTGGGCAAGGAACATTACAGAAACAGATCCGATCGATTGCACCTTATGAATAAAAGCTAAAGTTAGTGCCACAGCGTTTGTGAACCTAGTATAATGAATAAATGGAAAACCGGACTAGAAATGTTAAACAATTTATTTTATTGGAAATTTATTCTCCTGTAAAAATGGAAGTTGAATTACTAAAAATTTACTGTATGTGTAAACTTAAAGGTTAATTTCAACTGAAATTGATAAAAATAAAGTCTTTACTTATTTAAGTCTTGTTAATTTGCTATTTTTACGCATATTTATGCGTATTTATTTGAATCACGCGCTATTATCGAATACAATCGAACCTATTCGATATATAGAAGTAGTGTTTTGGCATTTTTAATTTGACTCGAGTTCGGTCACACTGCCCTAGAGCGAATTACATAAATTTTGGCAGGTTAGTATTATTAATGTTTATTTTGCATAAATTCTGAGGTTCCTACGCCAAAGAAGACTCTCAAGAGAAGGCTCACAATCCCAGGAATGAGGACAGCCGCTTCCGGGGGCTGACAGCCCGTTGGGTGATGGGAATCCGCATCCTTGTGTTTTGGTCTAATGTTTTGCATTTTTCCACAGACATGTCGTTGCTACGCGCAAGATATTACGACCACCCCGATGGTGAGGATGCATTTGGCAAGATCGTGGCCACCAACAAATATGCGCTATCCGCCGGTCTGGCCTGGTCCATGTTCGACGTGCTGACGCTTACCAAGCCAAAGGGCTATGGTCCCACTCTTGGACGCTTTGCCTACAACACGGGCCCACTGATGGGAATGGCCACGGCTTTCACGCTTACCACCCTGACGGCCACAAACGTCCGAGGCAAGGACGACAAGTGAGTCCCAAGTTAACCAGCCTCCCAGAAAATAAACTAATCACCACCTCACTTTCAGATTGAACTACTTCCTGGGCGGATTCGCGGCTGGCGGCGTCTTCGGCGCATGGAAACACAACCACGTTGCTGGTCTCTGTGCCGGTCTCTTCTTGGGTTAGTTGTTTGTAGATCTAGCAAGCTGTAACATCAGTACTAAAGTCTCTTTTACTAGGCATTGCTGGTGTTATCAAGAAGATGTCCATTGAGCAGGGCTGGGAGTTCTTCCCCAACACACCCCTGAGGCAGTACGGTGGCCTGAACATTGCCTCCAACGATTGGACAATCATGCCCGACCCCCCAAAGAACTGGACCACTGAGAAGCCCAAGGAGAAGTAAAGTCTAGTTTCCTATGTTTAGTTTAATGGCGATTCGATGATGGAAGGATTATGCGGTCTCTGTTTTCCCCGCTGTCACCTGAATAAAGCTTAGCGCGAAGTGATAAAGCCAGGCTAATTTTGCTGGAGTCCAAAACTGTCATTTTATCTTTCCCATTCTATGGGGACGAGGCTCGTTAGCCATTGGGGTATCCACATTGGTGAAGTATGTCACAGTAACTTATCAACCGCAGTTGGCGTGAATGAGTGACGGCCCAGCGAAAAAAGCCACCTAACTGAAACGAGTCACGAACTGGCGGCGAGAGTCTTATGTACTGCCAACAGTTTATTTCTTTATTTTCATCGGCCCATTTAAAATCCATGAATGTGCATTTACTCATGTTTGGGTCTTTTCACCTTATGTGCTCCCCACAGTTTTTGTGTCTTTGCTTTTTGTTTTTGTCGAGACGACGATAGGTGACTCATGATCCCCAACTCCCGAATACATATTCATCAGCATAGGTAAATGCCATCTTATGCATACTAATGCAGGTTCTTAAGTACGTTTTATTGGGCTTAGAGCTGGAATCCATAGTGGGGTGACTTCTTCCTTGGAGCCAGTAAACCATAATTGAGAATTTGCCAATTTCGCTTCTACCTTAACCTTTGCCAACCTCGGAATCTTCTCTTGGCTTTATTGCTGTGGCTTTTTTGCGGTTTATTTATGCTCTTTCTGGTTGGCATTTTTTTTCTGCCAGATTTATTGTTATGGAGGAAGAAAGTTTTGTGAGTGAGTGGAGTGACCCTTAAGCTGGAAACCGTTAAGTCTTGCTTGATATTGATGATGGGCCGCTTTATGCAAGCGATTTTAATATATGTGTGTTTGGCCAACTGATGTAATAGCTCTATTGGTATGCTTTTATGATGGCCAGAACTTGGCAGCGCATATTTTTCGCCACTCCGCCATTCACCTTGATCTCTGGCATAGATCCCCGCCCTGGATTCCCTGAGTATGGATTCCGAAAAACCAGTCCGACGACTTAGCTGCGAATAAATTGGAGTGCGCCTGGCGGAATCTGTATCTGAATCCAAATCTGACTCTGACTAATCTGTGGCAGCTGGCTCCACTCCACTCCATCCAGTCCACCTCCTCTCTCTTGGCTGCATGCTAACGTATGTATCTTGGGGATGCGACCGTTGTCATGGGCTCTCAGCATGTTGGAGCATAAGCTGCAAAGTTTCGCGATCGCTGCGTGATTTATGGTAGATGGAGGCTGCGGGAATGACATCATCATTGGCCATTCGCCTTGGGGGATAGGATTGGGAGCGATATATGTACATATGTATGTATGTATGTGAGTATATCTCTGGAGACGGCAAAAGTTAATTAAAAATAAAATAATTGTTTTTACTTTCATTTCCTGGCTGCAAATAAATATGGAAAGAGTAGCAGCGTACTTAGGAAACAGTAGCCCCCATTCAATTCCAATGTTTATAGCTTCTTATCGAAATATAAGGATGGCCATCCCCTTTTTCGAATCGCGTGCCAACAGGATCTAAGAATTAAAAATGAAATATGGTAATTTCAGGCAGGGATTCGTTTAACCCTCAGACTGGTGATACGGAAAAGGGACTTAAAGTACTCGAAAAGCTTTTAAATTAATGAAACACTTGAGGCGACAAATGGGATTGTAATTCGTTATGTCAAAATATTGAATAAAGGAGTTGCATCTTTTACAACTAAAGAAAAAAATATAGTTACTGCAAAAAGTGGCTAAGTCTAAAGATATAGGTACTGAAAGATTATTTAATTAGCAATCTATTGCCACTATTTTCCCCTCTCTATTATCCTGATTAAGACAGATACTGGGCAATACATAATCATGAATTTATACTAATGTTTTGACTGCAACTGTAAGCATAAATGAATGCGAAGTGGTCACGCAGCTGTGGGGAAAATGGAAATGGTGGTAGAAGCCGTGGCAAGACGCTTGTAATTAATCTTATTACGAACTGCCAGAGTGCGAGTGCGACTGCTCAGCTCCCTCCGGTGATGGTGATGGTGATGCGTTTTTATGGAATTGTGCGACGTCTGTCCGGCGCTGGCGTGTAATCCTTTTAATAAAGCCCGCGCAACTCAGGCGACACTCTGTCAAATTAATCACCATGACAGCGCCGCCGATGAGGACTGCATCTGCATCTGCAACTGCATCAGTATCGGTATCTACAACGGCAACAAGGGGCAGGCAGACATCGAAGGTTATTCCGCTCCTAAGCCTCTCACAATTCCGCAATTAAAGATCAGCGCGACACAAAAGATGCTGGCACTCGTACTGAAATGTACTTTTGTATCTTCATGTCTGTGGATATATGCCTGAATATGTATCTTTGTATCTACAAAAGTGCTTATGAATTTATGTACATATAGTTTTGTTGCATTTGTGGCTGCCATTCAATTGGTGTCAAAACTCCTTGGCACCATGTACCGTGGAACAGTTTCGGTATTAAAATGAATATTTAAGTATATTTTTTTTCTACACAACGATAACTCCATTTCCAACCATCGTACATTGCAATCAGACGAGGCGATCATGTTTGCTTATGGAATCAGGGACACAATTCATCATGCGACCCAAGACATCGCTAGTTGCAACGAAGAGCTGCCTCAGTGTCCCCGCAACATTTGTCTGTGTTCGGTTGCAATGACATTCAATAACCCGATCCATGGTCCCCACCTCTTCATGCACTCGAGAAAAATTAATAGCATTGTATTAAATGAAAACCATTTAAGTCCACAGTTCCCTCTTCTTTTTTCTGTGTGTGGTTGCACAGACAACGGTTTCATAAGCTGAAGATGCAAATGCAGCAACCGGCGGCTGTATTGGGTATCAGATTCACTTAACCCGATCCGCATCGGGGTCATAAGTGCAGAGTAAATAAAACATTTTAGAGCCGCGGCGAACGTGCCGCCAAGAAACCGGCGAGGAAGATGCAACGCGAACGGAAAACAAATGAAGTGATTGAATGCGTTGCGCAGACGCAGCCGGGTGGGAGTGATGGGTGCGCAGGAGGGGCATGGGGTTGGTTGGGGAAAGTTGTCCCAAAACGACAACAGCACGCGATCGAGTCCCTGGCAGAGATCTTCTTATCCCACAAGACCGAAAGATTGATTGAATTTTTGTTTCTTTTTCCGTGCCTCATCAATACAGACAGACTGGATGGATGGTTGGATGAATGGGTGGGTAAGGGGGTCTAAAATGGACTACAAAATGGAAAACTTTCTGAGTGCTGAGGTTGTACGTCAATTTAACACTCCAAGAGTACATTCCGGTAATCGGAGAATAGGGGAACGACAACAATCAATCAAATGGATACTCTGGGAACCATTTCCTTTCTTTCCTGTTTAGATATATCACCATGTTTTAATTGATTATTCACAAATAAAGTTTTTCCTAATAGAAAGACATTAATTATATAAAAAGTATATATACCTATTTGTTTAATATTTTATATAATTCATGAAGTAATCGAGGGATTACCATTTATAATGTGAAACATATTGCTGCCTTGAGTGTTTACTTTGTGGCGAATTGTTTTGGATTTGGTAATAAAACCACATATGATGGGGTGGAGTTCCACAATGCAAATATGCTGAGAAGGGAGTGCATAAATCAAATTGGAATTCGTCACAGGCGACAGCTCCCAAAGAGTCGCTCCCCGTGACCCCCGGCGACCTTCGTCCGTCACAGGAATCTCTCCTTCTGGCAGAGACATGCAACATTTGTTGTAAATGAAGTGCGACCCAAGGGCCTTGGGCAATGCAATTCCAAGTTCCTTCGGTTTCTTCCAGCTGGAGACGCAATTATTTACCAATCCAGTAGAGACTCCTTTTGCTTAACCAAGGCAAAACTCAGACTCCTCCTGTTTCTTGGTAAATACAGTGAAGCCTTCTACATATTCTGGTCATCGAAGATTGAGAAAGAACTAAACTATTTAAACTATTACTAGCTTTAGATACTATATTACTATTTTAATATTTATAGTTTTTTTCTTATCTAGGCTCATACAATTTGTGGAAGCTTCACTGTATGATGGTTTCTCCCCTTGCTTTCTTCATTCTTTCACATGCAGCATACGAGAAGAATTGCGAGTTCTCTTGACGGCGTCGCTGCCTGCCTCAAGTGGCATTCTTCAACTGCCATTCTTCCTCCCTTCCCAGGGCAGCACCTACTCCCTCGCTGCTGCCCATGTCTTTGAAGTGGCTTCCGTTCGGCTCTCCGGCACAATAAATCTCGGAGTGGGCGGGGCAGTGGGCTGTGGGCTGCCTTCCCAGCTCTGCGGTCGTGACGCATTTGAACTTTGCTTTTCATATTTTTTCAATCAATGCAAGTCCATCGATCTCTGCCTCTCAATTGATAACGCATTTAAAATTTGAGCACGCAGAATATCAATTTAAGCCCCAAGCTGCTGAACAGAGAATGGGGAGTGTTTAAAAGCGATTTCCGAGTCTGAATTGGAGGCTTAAGTGTTCTTAATGGCAGCTCCCAACTTCGATCCATTACAATGTGTACTCATGAGTTCACAGCCATGGGCAAGTTATTAGTAGAGCCATTGGATATATTCTTTATGGAAATCTGCTTAAATGCATTCTTTTTTTGAAGGGTAAATTCAAACTCAAACACCCAACGAATTTCAATTAGTTGAGTCTCCACTGTACATATTTATTTGAATGATCGTTCATAAGTGCATTGGCCGCGCCGGCGCATCGAATCGAGGGAGCAATGAGAAGAATTTGGGGAGCTTTCAATTGGTGGGCTTCTGTTCGGCCTCTCCAGAGACCCCAGCCCGATGCATTGTGCTTTTATGCAGGCCTCTGGGAAATCTGTGCGGCGCATTATTAACAATTCCATTAATTTTTCCCTCGAATCTCTTCCGACTGCTCTAATTATGAAAATGTTCTGATGTTCTGGCCCCGGCTACTGTTGGTGTTGGCTGGTCCCCTCACTCAATTGATTCAATTATGCCTAACAAATCACGGTTTTTTCGATTCGGTTGCTGATCCGAATCAGTAATCAACATATGTATAGTATTGAGAAATTTGACTCGGAAAAAATGCCCTCAATTCCTACATCTTTCAAGATTAATAGTTGAATCTAA